GGAATTGAATGACTCATTATCAAGCTGCTGTTGTTAGGTCCTCCACGTTCCAGTAATTGCATAGACCGGGTCTATATTGATCGACACATCTTGACTACATGTATAGAAAAAATAGAAAAGTACTTGCTGGCTAAAGATAAGGTTGAATGTATACTGAAATGTAAACTTTTGATAACCAAAGTATAGAATTGTAGAACATTTCGCTTAAAATAAATTCCATCACTATTGTTTAATCCAGGTTTCTACGTCGTTTTTGCAGTGCGATTCTCTTCCTTTGTGAAGTTAAAGTTATCACAGTTTTTGTACTCAGGCATGTTAAGGCATGGGTCACCTGGTAATTTGCCTAATTGGAGAAGTGGCATTTGAAACGGATTGTTTTGATCAGTCGTCATGAAACTTGGCAAACAGTTTTAGCTCGGTGGCCTTAACAATATGTGACATGTTCATTGTTGAAATATTAGTCATGTGACCTGCAAATGATCGTTCACGTTCAAAGTTTTCAAATTAAAACGGGGGAAAGGAAATGAACGAGCAGCAAATCACAATGCCATAGCCTGGGTAGCAGGCGCTTGGAAGTAGTACGCAAGAAAAATTGGCGCGCAAGAATGAGACACGCGAGGGGAGAGGGAGCTTGTCTCCTTCGAGCGCGCCTTTTCTCTCTTTCACCCACTACTTCCAAGCGCCTGAAAGAAAGAAAGAGAGAGAGGACAAACACTGGTTTTTGGCAGTCTGGTAGGCTGTTTGCATTGTTACAAATGCTGTCACTGCAAAATTTGAAAAAAATTTTTCCGTGACCCCCCTTTAAACCCAATATTTTTTCTTTTGACCCCCTGCTATAAAGCCATTTTTTTCATGACCCCTTCAAAACCCACCAGCTATAACAGCGGAGGAACGGATAAGACATAAAGTGATTAGTGGGTTATATAAAAATTGAACATAATTATTGAAAATATTTTCAAACTGCTTAATTGCCAACTTTGTTAAAATGCCGGTTATTTTCGTCAGTCCACTCCCACAAAGACTGTGCTGAGCTGTACAAATCTGGTAAAAAGACCAGTGGTGTTTGCACAATCGACCCTGATGGTTCAGGAGCCTTTGATGTGTTCTGTGACCAAAAAAACAGACGGTGGGGCGTGGACAGTGTTCCAAACGAGACTGGACGGCTTGGTTAATTTCTACCGTGGCTGGGCTGACTACAAAGGGGGCTTTGGTAACTTGAAAGGTGAGTTTTGGCTTGGACTGGACAAGATCAACCGCTTAACTAACAGTGGACGGTACAAGCTTCGTGTGGATGTTGAAGACATCGAAGGAAAAACAGCCTATGCTGAATATGATATGTTTGCTGTAACCAGCAAGCGAACTAAGTACAGGCTGAGCCTTGGAAGGTACAACGGTATGGCATCTCTGGATATTTATTAAGTGTTTGTTTGATTTTTTTTAAAAAAATTCTTTACTGTTAAAACCTGTAAAAAGTCTTCTTTATCACTTAAAGGAGCTGTGTCACGAAATTTATCAAAACCTGTGGGAAACACCACCAAACTTAGAGAAACATAAAAATAACTGCTCAAAACGTGAAAAGAGGTAAAGATAACAGCAAAATCAAAAGGAGAAACGGATGACAAACTTGAAGAAGATTGAAACGGACTGCAGTTGTGGTTTTTGAAAACTTTTAAGTAATTTCTCAAGTTCCAAAGCGAATGAGGAGGCCCATTGGCATGATTCACAAAACGAACTACAGACAAACAGCACACAACTCCTTTAAGCAATGTACAAAGTGCGGATTAGAGGGCAATACTAAAAATTGTCGCATTTTGAAAAGTAAGAGGCTGCTGATGCCCACAGTGACATCTGTCAAACATAACTCTACGTTACCTATTCTGTAGGTAAGCGTGCATGTTTTCCCAAACGTCCGCATAATTCAATGTGGCTCTTGATCAATCTCGGTAGTTTCTTCTCGTTTCCTACTTCAAAGTTTTATTTTTCGGGCAGTAAAACTTCAGTTAGCTAGTCAAATCTAACATGGTTAGACCCAATCAAACTAAAACGGACTTTCCTCCTCAAAACTTTTCTTCGTCATGAATTTCGATAAGCAAATCATTGAACGATTAAAGATTTCGCCCGCTAAAGGAATCTGGAATCCAAGTAATTCGGAACCCAGAACAGGAAATCCAGAACAGTCCACGGCGTGGAATCCAGAATCCAAGACTGTCTCAGATTATCTTACGTCGGACGAAAGATTAGCGTCTACTGCATATTATCAAACATATTGTTTTTAATAGTGAAAAGTTGTTTCAAAACGAGTTGAGGTTATTTGCATTCCCGTAGCGCGCGTCGAAATGTTCAGTATATTGGTACCCCAAAATCCACCTTTTTCTTCTCCAGGAACCGCTGGGGATTCCCTTTCTAAGCATCGCGGTTTTCCGTTTATTTCAACCAAAGATCGCGATAATGACGACGTTTGGAGTACTAACTGTGCAGAGCGTCATAAGGGAGCTTGGTGGTACTAAGATTGTTTCTACTGCAATCTCAACGGAATTTACCACTATGGTAAATATCAGTCATATGGATCCATGGCTGATGGTGTGGAGTAGAGATCATGGAAGTATGGTTACTCTGCAAGAAGAGCTGAGATGAAGCTTAGGGAAGAAAACCTTTAAGAGAGTATTTTTTCTTGGTTTCTTTTACAGAGGTGATAACTTAGGGTTTGTTGTCATTCTCAATTTATTGTATCGTGAAACAAATTTGTAACACAGTGTAACAGACTTTTTTTTTTTTGTATGGTATTAAACAAGGGCGGATTTTAGGGTGGGCCCAGGGGGTCCCGTCCCCGCCCCCTTTCGTCCGGTAATTTCTTTTTCTTTTGTAAACGTGTGTAAGATGGTACTACGAGCTTTGTTACTTAAATATATTTTCTTTAATAAACATTGTTAATAAGAAAATAATTTGTGTTCGAAGCCTACATTTTAATTTAGTCGCAAATGACAAAGGTTCCCAGAATGCTTGCAGTAAATATCAGCCTCAAACAAACTGGATTTGACAATTTTTCAGGGAAGACAATGTTGCCGTCTTTGCCAGGAGGTTGTGCTTTCGCCGCAATCGCTTCGGCCCCTGGTGGCATCATAAAGTGTTAATTACTTCTTTGACCACAACCACACCTGTGTTTTTTTTAAATATTTCAGCATTACATGTTCAATATGGAATCCCGGGTATGTAATCCAGGCATTTTAAATTTAAGCGTCCAGAATGTACTCGATTGCATTTCAGAGAACGTTTTAATCTCAAAGATTTTCCCGGGGGAGCGTGCGCCCGAAACTCCCTACAAAAGCACGCCGTTCGCAGTTCTGATGGGCGCTATCTTGCCATATTGCCACTGTATATTATATCTCTAGGCCCCCTCTATCACAAAATCCTCCGTCCGCCCCTGCTAAACCTGGACATAGTACAGTGGGAATCTTTTCTTATCAGCCTTTCTTATTGGTTTTGAGTAGAGACCACCGCTACTCTGTAAGGAGAGCTGAGATGAAGATTAGGTTAGAAAACCTTAAAGAGACTATTTTCTTTTTGCCGCGGGGTCAGTGAAAAGTCAAGGTATTTTGTCCATCAGAGGCTTTACCATTTACGTGGGCAAACTGGTCGGATCACCGTTTGGGCAAATGGTAGGCAAAATTCAGGACTGCATGGTAAGTTTCCTTTCGGAATTTGGTGTACCATTTGCACAAATCAATTCTATTAACCGAAAAACGGCTGCAAAGAGCTAAAACTGGTATCAAAGATGGCTTGAAGAAACGGAGCACGAATTTCTGTTTGGAACATTCCGACCGGGAAAACAGGACACATTTTGAGATGTTCTGTCGCTCCCGGAAATTTGAAAAATCGTGTATAAGTTTCTTTCCAACCCGATTTTCCAGCAACTTTAAATTAAATGGTAAACAACCACAATTTACAACACAGTGAGACAAATTTGTAACACAATGTAATAGATGAATAGACTATTTGTTTTGTTTGTTGACCCGGAAGTAATGAAATTAGCACTCCATGAAATTAAAATATTGGCAATAAACGCGACTTTTATATCATCAACGACTTTTTAAACATGTACATTACATTTAAAAATGTAATGTACATGTGTATTACAGAAAAAAAAACAGAAGTATCCTCAGAGTCAAATAGTTATTTTTCTATTTTTTTTCACAAGTTAAGTGATCAATATATACGAGAAGAAAAAATATCGTTTCTTCCAGCCTGCTGGTGAGATGCTTATTTAGGAAGGGAGGGGGCAAGGTGGAAAATCCTCCTCCCCTGCTCCTCCATTATCCGGCGCACGATTTCCCATTTTTTTGAACTCCTGCCACGCATTCACAGCTATTTTACCCATAAAAACATCATTTTTGGGTTGTTCACAGTCCTGTTCCCGTCTGCAGAACGCTTTTTCTGTCATAGTGTTTACGAACAAAGACGAGAGTGGAGGTACACGTGCAGCGATCCCCGAAGGGCTTCCGTAGCCTGCGTGCAAAAGTCTCTTAGATACTTGATATATATTTCCTTCGCCGGTCATGGAAAAACCCCTTTTCCGTAAGTAACAAAGGAAACTGGAGATGTCTGCAAGACTGCAAGCATCACGAACGTGCTACTCATCTGATAGTTAAAGCAATTATAGAAGATAAAAAAAGAAACATTTACCTTAGCACGAACCTTGGACTGAATCTTTTTTATGTTCCTTACTGATTGGTTTAACCCACTGTAAACTAACAGCTGGTGATTGTGACAGCAGGCAAAAAGCAAAAGCTGTTCAAGCAAACAAACTAAACATAGCAAAGCAAGAGTTTTTACTCAAAAACACTATGGTTCATTTTACCTCCTTCGTGCTCTTTGTTTCGATTTTGCTGTCGATCGTTTCGATTACAGCCCAGACACAGAATCAGTTAGGTTCAAAAGGAACTCAGCAATGTACAATCAACAACAACTTCTACGCTGGATCGAATAAGAAGGTCGAAACTGTTATGTTTGAGATGAAGAAGCAACTGGATGAAATTCAGAAGGAGCTTAGGAACTTGACACAGAAAACAAAGAAAGAAAACAAGACTAAAGGTAGCTATCTGGATTCGTTGCTTACGTTATATCATTTCAGTCTGTGAATCAAATTTAAATACAACGTACCTACATTGGGTTATCGTAGAAGAAAGTCTTGGTCCCAAAGATATCACAGTTGACATTGCACTTGAGAAAGGGTTTGTAATTTCTTATCCTTAGGCCTATTTTTTGATAGAATATCTCTAAATTATTCTCACCTGATAACTGTTTTTGCCTAAAACTCATCCTCCATAAATATTGAAAACTGATGCCTTGTTATTATTTTTCAAAATTTGCTTCAAAGATTTTCTCTCCCAGTCCAACCACAAAAGCTGAAATAAAACTGAAAAGTCCTTGCTTAAGTTGATAACTGGCGGCAGGGGTCTTTTTGCGCACAAAATAAAGGAAAACAAATTATCACATAGTCTGCTAGGCCATTAGTTTTTGCTGGACACTAATTTTAATTCTTCATTTTCCTTTAATTAAATCTTCTTCTCACTGTCCCTAAGAAATCCATTATCACAAAAACTGTGCTGACGTGTACAAGTCAGGTGACAGGATCAGCGGTGTGTACACAATCGACCCTGATGGCTCAGGCGCCTTTGACGTGTACTGTGATCATAGTGCCCCCGGTGGGGGGTGGACAGTGTTCCAAAAGAGACTGGACGGCTCGGTTGATTTCTACCGCGGCTGGAATGATTACAAGCGTGGCTTTGGTAACCTGAATGGCGAGTTTTGGTTGGGGCTGGATAAGATTCATCGGCTGACCAAGAGTGAACGTTGCAAACTTCGTGTGGATCTCGAAGACACCGCAGGAAAGACAGCCTATGCCGAGTATGACATGTTTGCTGTAACAAGCGAGAGAACCAAGTACCAGTTAGGAATTGGAACTTATTCAGGTATGTAGGCGTATCATCTAAACAGGTCTAGAAAAGGTTATTGCCCAATCGCGCCCGCCCCCTGTTTTTTGTTTTGGCTAGGAAAAAATTTTCTCGATGGTAAGCAGTTTGCGAGAGTGATTATCCAAAAAAAAGTGTAGAGGTAAAGGTGTTCATGTAATTGTAGCGAGGCCCACAGTACACACAAACAAGCAACCATGTAAGACTGTGAAGATTGTCGGTTGTTATTTTTCCAATTTTCTTAATTTACGGCTTCGTCGATGCAGATCATGATCACAGAGTCTTAAGTACTTTTTTGCCTAACAAGTAATTCAACTGTGTGGCGATTTGTCTGTAGGAACAGCTGGGGATTCTTTGACCTATCACAGGGGCCACCCTTTTTCGACCAAAGATCAGGATAACGACAACTGGTCCAAACACTGTGCGCAGAACTTTAAAGGGGCTTGGTGGCACGACAGTTGTCTCTATTCCAATCTAAACGGTCCTTACCATCATGGAAAAATTTCAACTTCATACATAGGTGTGATCTGGTATCACTGGAAAGGAGCTGACTACTCTTTGAAGAGAGCTGAAATGAAAATCAGGCCGGAAAAGTTCTAGGAAAGCCTTTTTACTAAGCCCGTACAGTAGTGCACTAAAAAAAGTCTTGAGGACACACGAAAAGTTTCCAAATTAAACCTTTGCTGAGCTAATTATAGAGTGATAATATTTTCTTGTGATTAAGTGTAAGGAAATGTTTTTTTTTCTCTAATGAACTCAACAAATTTTTATAGAGTGGAACCCATTAAAAGAATACTCCAATACGACTGGTACTTCTTTCGTATATATACCTATGATCCACCGATTCATGACATCACATTCGGTTGCAAAGCTGGCGCGAAGCAGCAAGATGGACGCCCGATGCTATTTGGTTTCTTCATTACTTTCACCCGGGGGCTAAAGGGAATTTTATTCTTTTCTGAATTCCGAGGATGTTTAGAAGATATGTTGCCGGCTTTTTAAGCAAATGTCATGACCAAACAAAAGACACTTAGTGTTATTTTTACGATAGGCTTAAATAGCATGCAGATGCGAGGAATATCATGGCGAGTCTTTTGCTGTTCTCAAACGGTTAGCAAGAATTTGATCCCATCGGCCTAAACCCCCTTTGGACACCTTATGAAGTTTACACAACCTAGAATTCCTTATATTATCACTTCTGTTTCTAGCACTGGCAACAATACTAATTAGGGTTAAGCACTTAAAATAGTGATTAGGGTTAAAAAAAAAATGCGGTGCCAACTTTCCTCACTTGCAGCCAATGGCTGAATTGCGGAGGAACCAGAGAGGCGAGATCGGACGTCAGCATATAAAGGCGCACTCTTGCAGCCACTTCAGTTCATGTTTTGATCACACCTTGCCCACCCAGACCAATGACGGCACAAGTCCGATAGACATCGGGGCCTACGTCCCCTAATCTTTTTGAACAATGTCGCGGGTTCTTTTACGTCCGCTTCCAACTGGAGTACAAGGACCGGAAGGGGACAAGGCCAACGGCTCAACGTCACTGCCCATCATCTGAACTGAGAAAGGAGTTTAACAGCTAGCATGATCTCACTAGTGTTTTTTTTAAAGACCTTGGTTGATGGTCCGGCGGGGGTTTGAACTCACGACCTCCCGCTCAGCAGACCGGCCTTCTTCCAACTGAGCTTACCACTGACTGTGCTGATTAGGGTTAAGCCCTGAAAATAGTGATTAGTGTTATTAGCACCGACTCCAAACGGTTAGCTTCTATTTAGGGTCAGGGTTGTTGCTACATATACCTTCAAATCAAACCTATTCTTGCCAGCAAATCCTCAGTGGCGTAGTGGTATAGGTGATGGACTGTAAGTCTTTTGCTGCTCAGTAAAACGAGGGTCCGTTCAAGAATTTGGCTTTCGTGATTTCTAATTTACCGAAACCATTAATCAAAATAGCCTATCATAAGCGGAATAGAATGGAGAAGAATCCGATGGTCACAGTTTAAAGTGTTAGCAGCTAGACGGCTTTATCACTCAATGTAAAGTTGCTGAAAGCTCTGTTAAACTGTACGGTTTGAGCAATAGAGAGTTTAAGCTTCACATATAAGGCAAACGGCAGACGTCAGATTCAAGTTGAGAAGATAAAAACAGCTCAAAATAATTCTTGGCTTTTGCGACTTCAGATTTACCGAAATCATCAATGCAAATAGCTTATCCTGAGTAAAATAGAACGGAGAAGAAGCAGATAGTCACAGTTTAAATTGTTAACTGCTTGAAGGTTTTATCACTCGACATAAAGTTTATGGAAAGCTCTACGTGCTTAACTGATTTCGAAACCTAAAAGTTAGTGTTGGCTTCTTTGCATTTAATTTGCGTTTGAAGATTTATGTTAAGGAAAAGCCTTTATACCAAAAAGTAATCCAATTAAAAATCATATCTGAGAGAAATCAGGAAAGTTTGTGCTCTGTATTTTTTCCAAGATTGCACGTGTACACACCTGAAAAGAAGCCCTTATCCTCACATCTGGTCATAAATCAGCCCGGTTTAGAGCAGTGAAGTTCTGGAATCTGGAGGGATCATCAGAGCTGTAATATGAGACTCAATAAGAGTTCTAGATACTTTAGAACATGTTAGCAGAAATGTACATACAAGTTTTCCTGCAGCAGATCAGAACCGCATATGTTCGCTTGGTAACAAGAGAGGATAAAGGGGACAGAGAAGGCATCCCCCATACACACCCTATTCCATAGGTAATTCGTCTCGAGTTATTTTTAAGACCATAGATCCCAAGGGGGATTAGACAACAGCCAATCACATAGCGCGAATGTCTTCCGCGTGGATGACCCACGCTCAGAGCCACGCGTCCTTCACGAATTGACGCAGAAAAAAACGGCGAAAGACGCGGAGAGCGATATTGCTATTTGTTTCGTCGACGAAAACGACTAAAGAGAGAATTCTGCTAAAGCTGTGTCAGCGAAACGGAAATTAAAAAAGAATCGCCCTTCCTCTCTTGTATAGAGCTAACAGTACAGCAGGGAAATCCTTAACACAGTGAATATTCTCTCAGGATCATTTATAATTTACAGTTTGAAGAGAGCAATTTCTGGTTTGATATTTATTCTTTTATTAGTCTTTTATTATTCAACAAAAATAACGCTTGGCTTCCTACTTGCTTTATTGTACAAACGACCGGTTTCAATAGACCGGCGAAATTGATGCAAATTGGTATGGATTATTAATAACTTTCAGTGGGTCATACATAATGCTGTACTGCACTTTTAAAAACTAAAAATACTTTATCTCACAATTATCTAAGGTATGAAAAGTGAATTTTGTCGTATTTTTGAAGACTTGAATATCTAGCCGGGATTTTTGAAAACGTTATCTCCAAATGGACCTTTTGCGTCCAACAGTTTTTTTTTCGATCAAAAGCGATCTCCAAAGTAGCCATTATAAAACCTAAGTGTGCGACCATTCCTTTTTTTTCTTTTCCTCCTTTCCTTCTCCTCGCTCTTTCTTTTTCTCCTTTCCTTTGCCTTTGTTACCATGATTCTGGAGCTTCTCGGGATTAAGAAACCTGCCTTTTGACGCCTTTTCACTCAAATGACTGAAAATTTCGTTAGGTTGGTTTTCAAAAAATCGGTTAGATATACATTTAGATTTACAAAACAATGTGTATTCAAGTCCTAAATCTGGTCCTCAGACCAGAAATTAAATGGTAAACAAAGTACCACAATTTATAACACAGTGAAACAAATTTGCCCACAATGTAATAGACTATTTGTTTTGTATGGTGACCCGGACGTCATGAAACTAACGCTTCACGAAATTAAGTTATTCGAAATAAACGCGACTTCAGAGTCGCCGATCTCCACACAATGGCCACCTCTCTACAACGGCCACTTTTTTGGCGGACAGTCCACACACTGACTCTTGTTTAAACCTCTACAACGGCCACTTTTTTCTGTCCCCAAGGTGGCCGTTGTGAAAAGATTCAACTGTAGATGTCTTCTAGAACAAGGAGCCCTTGATTGGCTCCTACTCGAACCTCATTCTCGTCCCCAGAGCTCGTCGTTTCTTTTGGGCACATGGTCTTGAAACGAGGAACTCGCCACTGGTCCGTTACAAATTAAGCCGAGTCGCCCTAAGGACGAGAATGGCTTGAACCCATGGACTGTCAACGCTATTTTTAAAAGGTAAGTGATCGAATGAAGGTTGAGAACAGAGGGAAAATGCGCAAAAACGTGTACATGCACCAATCCCCGAGGGCTTCTGTAGCTTGCGAGCACACTTCTCCTATATGTTTGATATACTTTTCCTTTACTGCTCTTTCCGTAAGCAACAAAGGAAGTAGGAGATGTCTGCACGCATCGCGAACGTGCTGTAACTCTGGTGATAGCTAAAGCAATTATAGTGAAGATAAAAAACGAAGCATTTTTCTCAGCACGACCCTTAATCATGAATTAAGTCTTAGTTCCGGCGAAACTTGAACTGAATCTTTCATTATCTTCCTTATGATTGGTTTAAACCACTGTAAACTAATAGCTGGTGATTCTGACAGCAGGAAAAAGCAAGGACTTTCAACGAAACATAATAAACGTAGTAGAGCGAGAGTTGTACTCACAAGCACCATGATTCATTTGATCTCCTTCGTGTTCTTTGTTTCGATTTTGCTGTCGATCGATTCGATCGCAGCCCAAACACAGAATCAGTTAGGTTCAAAAGGTGCTCAGCAGTGTACAATCAATAACAACTTCTACGCCGGACCGAATAAGAAAGTCGAAACTATGATGTTTGAGATGAGGAAGCAACTGGATGAAATTCAGAAGGAGCTTAGGAACTTAAAGCAGAAAACAAAGAAAGAAAGCAAGACTAAAGGTAGCTATCTAGATTTGTTGCTTATTTTATATCATTTCTGCAAATGAAATTGAAAAGCAATGTACCTACATTGGGTTGTTGTAAAATAATGATCCTTCTTAATACGGACACCTCTTATCCCAAAGATATCAAAGTTGGCTTTGCCGTTGAGAAAGGTCTTGTGATTTCTTATCTTTTACCCATTTATGATAAAATATCTCTAAATTATTCTTTACGTGACTATTGCCTAGACTGCCTAAAACTCATGAACCCATTCAGTAAGTGGGACAAAGTTTATGTCATCCTCAAAAGATAATGGTTTTTTGTCTTGAAAATGGCGAACGTAGTTAGGACTAAGAAAGGAAAGCGCAAAAAACTCCTTCAAGCTTGTTATTTTTCAAAGGTTATTACTTTAATCATGCAGAGTTTGTTTCTCCCAGCCCAACCGCAAAAGCGGAAACGAAACTACTGCGCCAGCTGAAGTTTATTATGGGCTTTTGATCAGTTGACGCATATGATAAATAAAATAAAGTTTTTTTACGTGCATGGTCAACTCCCAGGGGTTGGGGGTGGGGGTACTCCCTATAATGGCCTAAGCGGGGAGGCTCCGCACGAGGAGGTACCATTTTCAAGCCTCAGTATATGATTCGGGGTATGGATCTCACTAGTTGAAGCATATGAAACGGCATGGAATTCTATCATTTCGGACTGTAAAAACTGACCCAGAAGGGTAACAGATGCATTTTATCATGGCTGTGAAAAAGTCGAGAAAACGGACTGGTTTTGTTATTATATTCACATTTTAAAGGCAGTACATTTACAGCAGTTAAAAGGGATACAAGGTTCTAAACTAAGTGTGTAAAAGGGGCACCATTTGTCAATAGAGGGTATACAAAAAGGGTACATTTTCTGTCAAAAATGGTATATAAAAGGGTAAGGGGTTGGACCTTGGGGCAGAGCCTCCCCGTATAAAACTTTCTTGAGTACCCCCCGGAAGTCAACTCGGATAAGGTTCTGTTTGACACTAAATTAAATTTTTCTTTCTCCTTTCCTTCTTGTTACTGTCCCTCAGCCATGCATTATCGCAAAAACTGTGGTGACGTGTACAAGTCAGGTGACAGGATCAGCGGTGTGTATACAATCGACCCGGATGGTTCAGGGGCATTTGACGTGTACTGTGATCATAGTGCCCCCGGTGGGGGGTGGACAGTGTTCCAAAAGAGACTGGATGGCTCAGTTGATTTCTACCGCGGTTGGAATGATTACAAGCTTGGCTTTGGTAACCTGAATGGCGAGTTTTGGTTGGGGCTGGATAAGATTCATCGGCTGACCAAGAGTGAACGTTGCAACCTTCGTGTGGATCTCGAAGACACCGCGGGAAAGGCAGCCTATGCCGAGTATGACATGTTTGCTGTAACAAGCGAGAGAACCAAGTACCAGTTAGGATTTGGAACTTATTCAGGTTTGTACGCATTATCTGAACAACTTTTCATTAACCAATGTATAATTTTAGAATTCAAGCACTTATATTAGAGAAGGGGAAATTATAGGCACGTGCGTGTGCATCATTGATCCTTGGTCGATTTATCACAAGATAATAGGTGCGCTCACACCCTAGTGATTTTACCCATGGGCTATGAATGTTTTTCATAATGTTTTTCGTTAAACACCGCAAACATGAAAGTGATCAAAACCCAGAGGGACAACAACCCAAGTTATTTCTCCTTGGGAACAGTTGCGGAAGACGTCTAGTATGACCGCACCTAATTATCGCTGAGTCTTTTGCTAGTCCAAACGTCGAACATTTCGTGATGTGAACGAAACTTAGTGAGTTAAGTTCATGAAAAGTTCGACGTCTGGCTCAGTCAAGTTCGTCTGAATGAGTTTGGATCGTCCAACACATTCCCTCCGTCTCTGGGACAAACGTTGATCTTCGCAACCGAGGAACTAAACTGATAAATTAAAAATTTGTGAGGTAATGTATATTTATTTAGCCCCGTTCGGGACAAAAAGTTATTAAGTTTGATTTCTGGTCTGATTCAGTTGACTGATTCGACGCGTCCTTAGTTGGACGTCTGACCCAACAGATGATCTTAACTGAATTTAGGTCGACCCAAATTAGAGTTTGGTTCGTTTCATGAAAAGTTCGACGTTTGGCTTAGGCCTTAACTGCTTTTTATGCTTAACTAGTAATTCAGCTTTGTAGCGATTTGTCTGTAGGAACAGCTGGGGATTCTTTGACCTATCATAGAGGTTGGTCATTTTCAACCAAAGATCAGGATAATGACAACTGGGGCAAACACTGTGCGGAGCACTTTAAGGGGGCTTGGTGGCATGGCAGTTGTCTCCGTTCCAATCTAAACGGCCCGTACCATCATGGAAAAATCTCAGGCAAAACTTCATACGTAGGTGTGGTCTGGTTTCACTGGAAAGGAGCTGACTACTCTTTGAAGAGAGCTGAAATGAAGATCAGGCCGGAAAAGTTCTAGGAAAGCTTTTTTACTGTACTAAGCCTGTACAGTAGTGTACTTAAAATGTCTTGAGGACACACGAAGCGTTTCCAAAATTAAAAGCCTTTTCTGAGCTAGTTATAGAGTGATGATATTTTCTAGCGATGAAGAATTAGGATAAGTTCTCTAATGGACTAAACATTTTTTTATACCGTGGAACCCCTTTATTAGTACCACCGTTGGACTAGGACATTTTGGTCGCGGGTTGGTCATACATCAGCGAATTAACGGATAGCGGTTGAAAAATCACGTTTATTTCCGTTGAAAGAGGTAAAGCTCTCTCCCGATCGCTAAATGATTAAATTTCTAACATTTGATAACTTGTTTTCTCCACAACGACATTCTTGCTAAATCCCGTAGAGGAAACTAGTAGCCTGACGACGGCTACCACAGTTTTCCCGCCAAAATGACGTTGGTAATCGCGGGCGTGCACTACTTAAAGGGTGCGTTCTTTTGGGATGATCCGGATCAGGATAAGTGATCCGAGATCATTCTGATCATAGTAGATCAAATACACCGATGAATCCACTATGGACAAGGATTCATCGGTTCATTTGATCTACCATGTTCCAAATGATCTCGGATCACTGATCCTGATCCGGATCATATCAGAGGAACGCACCCTTAGTATTAAGACTAGGAGTAATCGGAGCTTAGGAGAGTGCGTTCGATATGTTTGTTAGGCGTAGAGGTAGCAGTGGAGGGGAAAGGGTGGATGGTTCTTGCGATAGATAACTATGATTATGGCATATTTTGAACGTAAGGGTTGCGTACAGCGAAACATTGATTATAACATTGATCTCAGAAAACTTCGCGTAAACAAAAGCACCGGCCGCCGAAACCACAAAGCGGCTCTAAATGAAAAACCTACCTACCGACTTTCCTCAAATGATTCTTCATTCGCAGTTCAATTTAACATTTCAGTTTCGAAGACAAGGGCAATTTTGCTGTTTAAGATAAAGGTTAAGCTTATCGAAATGTTTGAATTAAACGAAAGAATGCCAGGGATGCGATCCGCTGAATATCAAGCGACAATCCCGCTAAAATTTTTCATAATTATTCATAATTATGCGAATGTTTAGACAATCAACCAATCAAAATCACTACTCGGTTTTCGGGTAGTGAGTGGACGTCACTGGACGGTATTAACGGCCGGTCGATTCAGACGTTGTTGAGAGGAGAAAACGACTCGAAGCAATCGGATGAATTTCAGGCTACAAAAAACGTTGATTCACGTCGATAGCTCCCAAGTTTCGCTATGTAATTCTGGCTTGATGAGGCAATGAAGAAATGCATGCATAAAATCGAGAACATGCTTTTACAACACCCTATCCTTGGCCGAGATCGAGAGCTAATCTGCTTTCATTCAGTAGTAGTTTTATTCTGATAGGAAAATGCGTGCGTGTCAAAAGCTCAGCATAGCCCCGGGGTTTACAAATGCCCGGCCCCCGGGCAGCGCAAAATTTGCAAATGCCCCACCCCCGGGACTGAAAAGGAGGGCAAATGCCCCGCAGTAGCCCGGGGGGGGAGGGTGGTGAGAGGGTCGCAGCTGTAACCGTGAATGACGCATTATCAATGTAAACTTTTGATAACCAAAGTATAGAATTGTAGAACATTTCGCTTAAAACAAATTCCATCAATATTGTTTAATCTCAAGGTTTCTACCTCGTTTTTGCAGTGCGATTCTCTTCCTTTGCGATAGGGTCAAAAGTTATCTCAGTTCTTCCTCTTTAGTTTGTAATACACAGAAAGGGAATTTGAAAAGGAAAACTGATATAAAAAATAAGAAATGAATAATGAATATCACGGAAAAATTAAAAATGAATAATGAATAATTTAAAGAAAAAAGCAAAGAATAAAGAATAATCGAGATCCAATTATTCATTTTCCACCCCCGAGAATCACAAACACGTCCGTGGTCTGCTCTGTTTATTGCACAGCACTAGCCTGCGTACCAGGCGTCGAAAGGGGTAGGGGATAAAGAAAAAGGGAGAAAGGGAGGGGGTAGGGGAGAGAGGGGAAGGGGCTCCCTTCCCTTTCCCTTTCCCCTCTTTCGTGCTTTTCTCCCTCCCCCTATCCCTCCCCTTTTTAAACCACAAGGAGGAGCCCGATGACGGCTACGTATAGTGTGACGCTCACAGCTTGAGGTTGGGCGGGCCTTTGATTTCTTACATGATTTCTTCTGGTGAACACCCTGAAATGTTTCATTAGCGGACTAGGCGTCGCCAAGCATCATGAAATCTTTTTTTCTTTTCTGCATCGGCCTCCTGTTTCAAGGAGAAGCTGTTCATTCAGCAACAAGAAAGGAACAAAGTCAACTAGATTCGAAGACCACGCCATGCACTGCAAACAACTACAACGGCATTTATGCGGAGCCCAGCAAGAAGCTGGAACATGTTATTTTGGGTATGAAAAAGCAATTGGATGAGATTCAGAAGAACCTTAAAGGTTCCTCGTGCAAGGGATGTAGGAACAATACTAAAGGTTAGTTAAATTATGAGGAGTAAAATTAGTATAAGGAAAAATCTCGTTTCCTTGAAGAATGCGTTTTCCATTCACAATTTCGCTGCCGGGGCAAGTCAGGTCAAGAAAACTCAGGTCAAGTGCGCAAGTTGCATGGGAGAGTACTGAGGCGGTATTAAACTAAATTCAATCGCGTCGCGCGTCCGGAGCAATATTCAGGGTCTTGAGAAGCTGAGGAAGATGCCGGGGAAAGATGGTATTGACTGTGTGGCTTGCATGACTACAACTGACACAAAAAGCGGACAGTCTTAGTTCCAGTCGTGAGGTAGAAAAGTAATCCCTAAGTTTGCCACTTCGTTTAAGTCGGCTACTCTTTCTTTACACGCGCGCGGTTTTGGACACCTCATAGAACTAACCCTTTTTCTTACAAAACGGTATTTTTTGCTAGAGTTAGTGAGCCGCCTGCTCTGGCCTCATGCAAACGAAATCGAAGCGCGAGGCATTATGGGAGGGGTAATAATTGATGAGAGCAGAATGAGATAAAGGGATGATGAGAGAGTGAGAGAGTGAGAGAGTGAGAGAGATGTGTGTCGCGTAATTCTTTCATCTCCGCACACCCACGCTCAGAGCATATTACAGCTGTGGTCATACTACAGACTTTTTTTACCTAGGTAAACTCGACTTGTTGAGAGTTTTCCTAGGGAAACTTGATTTTTTAACTGTGAATTTTATCGTCTGGGTCTTGGATATGTCTCGAGAAAAATAGAGTTTCCCTTGACAGCTACCCCGAAGCGATAACAAGGGAAAAAAGAAATACCGAGGTTGCTAGCCAATAGCCGCTCATCGGCGAAGGTCTTGATGACAGAACCGGGCAAAGAAATTTTGGGGGCACGATTCGTCTACCTTTCTTCACCTTGCACGTTGAATTAGCGCAAGAAAAACCAGCGAGATAAAAGAAAAAAACGTCTCTTTGATCAGCTAGATCCCTGTGCATCTTGCCTTGTTTAATTTACGCTCCAAAAAATTCAACTCGCGCGAAAACCTTAGGAGCCGATATCAGTAGTGTGATCTTACCAGAAGTTTTCATCTGGGTAAAATAAAACCCGAGATGAATTTACCTCGGGAGATTTTTGATGAATTTGCCCTAGGTAAATAGGTTTTACTATACTTAGGTGAAAGCCTGTAGTGTGACCTCGGGAACCACGCCGGTTCAAAGGTAGCCAAAGCTTGAAATATGAGCTTCGGCACTGTTAATAAAGCTCAAATATTTGTATGGCGAAAAACGACTGTTTTTTTTTTTTTAACTTATGAATGTGAAGGGAGCGGCTAATAGGCTGACCTTAGTCACGTTGCGTGTTTCCTCTTTTCTGCATGATCCTCAAGCTGCGCCGTTTGATGATCCAACCCCGTTACCTTTTAAACAATTTTTTGTCCCTTTTTACCTTCATATATATACCTTCAATTGACAAATGGTACCACTTTCACATACCTAGCTAGTTTAGAACACTTTGCTGGATCCCTTCTAATTCTATATGCACTGTAATAAAATATGAATAAATCACTATGCCATAGCCTGGGTAGCAGGCGCTTGGAAGTAGTGCGCAAGAACCGGCGGGCAAGAATGAGACACGAGAGGGGAGAGGGAGCGTGTCTCCTTCGCGCGCGCCTTTTCTCTATTTCGCCCACTACTTCCAAGCGCCTGAAAGAAAGAAAGAGAGAGAGGACAAACACTGGTTTTTGGCAGTCTGGTAATTTGTTCGCATTGTTACAAATGCCGTCACCGCAAAATTTGAAAAAAATTTTCGGCGAACCCCCTTTAAACCCAATATTTTCTTTTGACCCCCTCCTATAAAGCCATTTGTTTCATGACCCCCTCAAACCCCACCAGCTATAACAGCGGAGGAACGGATAAGACATAAATTGATTAGTGGGTTATATAAAAATTGAACATAATTAATGAAAATATTTTCAAACTGCTTAATTGTCAACTTTGTTAAAATGCCGGTTATTCTCGTCAGTCCACTCCCACAAAGACTGTGCTGAGCTGTACAAATCTGGTAAAAAGATCAGTGATGTTTGCACAATCGACCCTGATGGTTCAGGAGCCTTTGATGTGTTCTGTGACCAAAAAACAGACGGTGGGGGGTGGACGGTGTTCCAAAAGAGACTGGACGGCTTGGTTAATTTCTACCGTGGCTGGGCTGACTACAAAGGGGGCTTTGGTAACTTGAAAGGTGAGTTTTGGCTTGGACTGGACAAGATCAACCGCTTAACTAACAGTGGACGGTACAAGCTTCGTGTGGATGTTGAAGATATCGAAGGAAAAACAGCCTATGCTGAATATGATATGTTTGCTGTAACCAGCGAGCGAACTAAGTACAGGCTGAGCTTAGGAAAGTACAACGGTATGGCATCTCTGGATATTTATTAAGTATTTGTTTGATTTTTTTAAAAAAATTCTTTACTGTTAAAACCTGTAAAAAGTCTTCTTTATCACTTAAAGGAGCTGTGTCACGAAATTTATCAAAACCCGTGGGAAACACCACCAAACTTAGAGAAACATAAAAATAACTGCTCAAAACGTGAAAAGAGGTAAAGATAACAGCAAAATCAAAAGGAGAAACGGATGGACAAACTTGAAGAAGATTGAAACGGATTGCAGTTGTGGTTTTTGAAAACTTGTAAGTAATTTCTCAAGTTCCAAAGCGAATAAGGAGGCCCATTGGCATGATTCACAAAACGAACTACAGACAAAGAGCACACAACTCCTTTAAGCAATGTACAAAGTGCGGATTAGAGGGCAATACTAAAAATTGTCGCATTTTGAAAAGTAAGAGGCTGCTGATGCCCACAGTGACATCTGTCAAACATAACTCTACGTTACCTATTCTGTAGGTAAGCGTGCATGTTTTCCCAAACGTCCGCATAATTCAATGTGGCTCTTGATCAGTCTCGGTAGTTTCTTCTCGTTTCCTACTTCAAAGTTTTATTTTTCGGGCAGTAAAACTTCAGTTAGCTAGTCAAATCTAACATGGTTAGACCCAATCAAACTAAAACGGACTTTCCTCCTCAAAACTTTTCTTCGTCATGAATTTCGATAAGCAAATCATTGAACGATTAAAGATTTCGCCCGCTAAAGGAATCTGGAATCCAAGTAATTCGGAACCCAGAACAGGAAATCCAGAACAGTCGACGGCGTGGAATCCAGAATCCAAGACTGTCTCAGATTATCTTACATCGGACGAAAGATTAGCGTCTACTGCATATTATCAAACATATTGTTTTTAACAGTGAAAAGTTGTTTCAAAACGAGTTGAGGTTATTTGCATTCCCGTAGCGCGCGTCGAAATGTTCAGTATATTGGTACCCCAAAATCCACCTTTTTCTTCTCCAGGAACCGCTGGGGATTCCCTTTCTAAGCATCGCGGTTTTCCGTTTTCAACCAAAGATCGCGATAATGACGATGTTTGGAGTACTAACTGTGCAGAGCGTCATGAGGGAGCTTGGTGGTACTAAGATTGTTTCTACTGCAATCTCAACGGAATTTACCACTATGGTAAATATCTGTCATATGGATCCATGGCTGATGGTGTGGAGTGGAGATCATGGAAGTATGGTTACTCTGCAAGAAGAGCTGAGATGAAGCTTAGGGAAGAAAACCTTTAAAGAGTATTTTTTCTTGGTTTCTTTTACAGGGGTGATAACTTAGGGTTTGTTGTCATTCTCAATTTATTGTATCGTGAAACAAATTTGTAACACAGTGTAACAGACTGTTTTTTTTGTATGGTATTAAACAAGGGCGGATTTTAGGGTGGGCCCAGGGGGTCCCGTCCCCGCCCCCTTTCGTCCGGTAATTTCTTTTTCTTTTGTAAACGTGTGTAAGATGGTACTACGAGCTTTGTTACTTAAATATATTTTCTTTAATAAACATTGTTAATAAGAAAATAATTTGTGTTCGAAGCCTACATTTTAATTTAGTCGCAAATGACAAAGGTTCCCAGAATGCTTGCAGTAAATATCAACCTCAAACAAACTGGACTTGGCAATTTTTCAGGGAAGACAATGTTGCCGTCTTTGCCAGGAGGTTGTGCTTTCGCCGCAATCGCTTCGGCCCCTGGTAGCATCATAAAGTGTTAATTACTTCTTTGACCACAACCACACCTGTGGTTTTTTTTAAATATTTCAGCATTACATGTTCAATATGGAATCCCGGGTATGTAATCCAGGCATTTTAAATTTAAGCGTCCAGAATGTACTCGATTGCATTTCAGAGAACGTTTTAATCTCAAAGATTTTCCCGGGGGAGCGTGCGCCCGAAACTCCCTACAAAAGCACGCCGTTCGCAGTTCTGATGGGCGCTATCTTGCCATATTGCCACTGTATATTATATCTCTAGGCCCCCTCTATCACAAAATCCTCCGTCCGCCCCTGCTAAACCTGGACATAGTACAGTGGGAATCTTTTCTTATCAGCCTTTCTTATTGGTTTTGAGTAGAGACCACGGCTACTCTGTAAGGAGAGCTGAGATGAAGATTAGGTTAGAAAACCTTAAGAGACTATTTTCTTTTTGCCGCGGGGTCAGTGAAAAGTCAAGGTATTTTGTCCATCAGAGGCTTTACCATTTACGTGGGCAAACTGGTCGGATCACCGTTTGGGCAAATGGTAAGCAAAATTCAGGACTGCATGGTAAGTTTTCTTTCGGAATTTGGTGTACCATTTGCACAAATCAATTCTATTAACCGAAAAACGGCTGCAAAGAGCTGAAACTGGTATCAAAGATGGCTTGAAGAAACGGAGCACGAATTTCTGTTTGGAACATTCCGACCGGGAAAACAGGACACATTTTGAGATGTTCTGTCGCTCCCGGAAATTTGAAAAATCGTGTATAAGTTTCTTTCCAACCCGATTTTCCAGCAACTTTAAATTAAATGGTAAACAACCACAATTTACAACACAGTGAGACAAATTTGTAACACAATGTAATAGATGAATAGACTATTTGTTTTGTTTGTTGACCCGGAAGTAATGAAATTAGCACTCCATGAAATTAAAATATTGGCAATAAACGCGACTTTTATATCATCAACGACTTTTTAAACATGTACATTACATTTTAAAATGTAATGTACATGTGTATTACAGAAAAAAAACAGAAGTATCCTCAGAGTCAAATAGTTATTTTCTCAAACCCAGGGACCCACAACGATTTTTTTTTCACAAGTTAAGTGATCAATATATACGAGAAGAAAAAATATCGTTTCTTCCAGCCTGCTGGTGAGATGCTTATTTAGGAAGGGAGGGGGCAAGGTGGAAAATCCTCCTCCCCTGCTCCTCCATTATCCGGCGCACGATTTCCCATTTTTTTGAACTCCTGCCACGCATTCACAGCTATTTTACCCATAAAAACATCATTTTTGGGTTGTTCACAGTCCTGTTCCCGTCTGCAGAGCCCTTTTTCTGTCATATAGTGTTTACGAACAAAGACGCGAGTGGAGGTACACGTGCAGCGATCCCCGAAGGGCTTCCGTAGCCTGCGTGCAAAAGTCTCTTAGATACTTGATATATATTTCCTTCGCCGGTCATGGAAAAACCCCTTTTCCGTAAGTAACAAAGGAAACAGGAGATGTCTGCAAGTATCACGAACTTGCTACTCATCTGATAGTTAAAGCAATTATAGAAGATAAAAAGAGAAACATTTACCTTAGCACGAACCTTGGACTGAATCTTTTTATCTTCCTTATGATTGGTTTAACCCACTGTAAACTAACAGCTGGTGATTCTGACAGCAGGCAAAAAGCAAAAGCTGTTCAAGCAAACAAACTAAACATAGCAAAGCAAGAGTTTTACTCAAAAGCACTATGGTTCATTTTACCTCCTTCGTGCTCTTTGTTTCGATTTTGCTGTCGATCATTTCGATCACAGCCCAGACACAGAATCAGTTAGGTTCAAAAGGAACTCAGCAATGTACAATCAACAACAACTTCTACGCTGGATCGAATAAGAAGGTCGAAACTGTTATGTTTGAGATGAAGAAGCAACTTGATGAAATTCAGAAGGAACTTAGAAACTTGACGCAGAAAACAACGAAAGAAAACAAGACTAAAGGTAGCTATCTGGATTCGTTGCTTACGTTATATAATTTCAGTCTGTGAATCAAATTTAAATACAACGTACCTACATTGGGTTATCGTAGAAAAAAGTCTTGGTCCCAAAGATATCACAGTTGACATTGCACTTGAGAAAGGGTTTGTAATTTCTTATCCTTAGGCCTATTTTTTGATAAAATATCTCTAAATTATTCTCACCTGATAACTGTTTTTGCCTAAAACTCATCCTCCATAAATATTGAAAACTGATGCCTTGTTATTATTTTTCAAAATTTGCTTCAAAGATTTTCTCTCCCAGTCCAACCACAAAAGCTGAAATAAAACTGAAAAGTCCTTGCTTAAGTTGATAACTGGCGGCAGGGGTCTTTTTGCGCACAAAATAAAGGAAAGCAAATTATCACATAGTCTGCTAGGCCATTAGTTTTTGCTGGACACTAATTTGAATTCTTCATTTTCCTTTAATTAAATCTTCTTCTCACTGTCCCTAAGAAATCCATTATCACAAAAACTGTGCTGACGTGTACAAGTCAGGTGACAGGATCAGCGGTGTGTACACAATCGACCCTGATGGCTCAGGCGCCTTTGACGTGTACTGTGATCATAGTGCCCCCGGTGGGGGGTGGACAGTGTTCCAAAAGAGACTGGACGGCTCGGTTGATTTCTACCGCGGCTGGAATGATTACAAGCTTGGCTTTGGTAACCTGAATGGCGAGTTTTGGTTGGGGCTGGATAAGATTCATCGGCTGACCAAGAGTGAACGTTGCAAACTTCGTGTGGATCTCGAAGACACCGCGGGAAAGACAGCCTATGCCGAGTATGACATGTTTGCTGTAACAAGCGAGAGAACCAAGTACCAGTTAGGAATTGGAACTTATTCAGGTATGTAGGCGTATCATCTAAACAGGTCTAGAAAAGGTTATTGCCCAATCGCGCCCGCCCCCTGTTTTTTTTTTTGGCTAGGAAAAAATTTTCTCGATGGTAAGCAGTTTGCGAGAGTGATTATCCAAAAAAAAGTGTAGAGGTAAAGGTGTTCATGTAATTGTAGCGAGGCCCACAGTACACACAAACAAGCAACCATGTAAGACTGTGAAGATTGTCGGTTGTTATTTTTCCAAGTTTCTTAATTTACGGCTTCGTCGATGCAGATCATGATCACAGAGTCTTAAGTACTTTTTTGCCTAACAAGTAATTCAACTGTGTGGCGATTTGTCTGTAGGAACAGCTGGGGATTCTTTGACCTATCACAGGGGCCACCCTTTTTCGACCAAAGATCAGGATAACGACAACTGGTCCAAACACTGTGCGCAGAACTTTAAAGGGGCTTGGTGGCACGACAGTTGTCTCTATTCCAATCTAAACGGCCCTTACCATCATGGAAAAATTTCAACTTCATACATAGGTGTGATCTGGTATCACTGGAAAGGAGCTGACTACTCTTTGAAGAGAGCTGAAATGAAAATCAGGCCGGAAAAGTTCTAGGAAAGCCTTTTTACTAAGCCCGTATAGTAGTGCACTAAAAAAAGTCTTGAGGACACACGAAAAGTTTCCAAATTAAACCTTTGCTGAGCTAATTATAGAGTGATAATATTTTTTTGTGATTAAGTGTAAGGAAATGTTTTTTTTTTCCCTAATGAACTCAACAAATTTTTATAGAGTGGAACCCCTTTTTAATTTGTTAACACCGCCGTTGGACAGGAAATTTTGATCGCGGGTTGGTCAGCGTATCAAAACCAGTTAGCGGTGATGATACTTCTCATTTCTAAGGAATGAGGTCAATGAGACTGGATGACAAATAATAAAATGTTTTTCTAACCATCATTCTGCTGATTTGAAAATTATTATTTATCAATCACACACTCAACAATAAAATAAATAAATAAATAAATAAAGATTTATTAACTGTCAGTTTGATTGGTTTTCTCACTTATGTAGTCAGTCACGCCAGCCGGACATTAGACTAACGGAATTCATTAAAAGAATACTCCAATACGACTGGTACTTCTTTCGTATATATACCTATGATCCACCGATTCATGACATCACATTCGGTTGCAAAGCTGGCGCGAAGCAGCAAGATGGACGCCCGATGCTATTTGGTTTTTTCATTACTTTCATCCAGGGGCTAAAGGGCATTTTATTCTTTCCTGAATTCCGAGGATGTTGAGAAGATATGTTGCCGGCTTTTTAAGCAAATGTCATTACCAAACAAAAGACACTTAGTGTTATTTTTACGATAGGCTTAAATAGCATGCAGATGCGAGGAATATCATGGCGAGTCTTTTGCTGTTCTCAAACGGTTAGCAAGAATTTGATCCCATCGGCCTAAACCCCCTTTGGACACCTTATGAAGTTTACACAACCTAGAATTCCTTATATTATCACTTCTGTTTCGAGCACTGGCAACAGTGCTAATTAGGGTTAAGCACTTAAAATAGCGATTAGGGTTAAAAAAAAATGCGGTGCCAACTTTCCTTACTTGCAGCCAATGGCTGAATTGTGGAGGAACCAGAGAGGCGAGATCGGACGTCAGCATATAAAGGCGCACTCTTGCAGCCACTTCAGTTTATGTTTTGATCACACCTTGCCCACCCAGACCAATGACGGCACAAGTCAGATAGACATCGGGGCCTACGTCCCCTAATCTTTTCGAACAATGTCACGGGTTCTTTTACGTCCGCTTCCAACTGGAGTACTAGGACCGGAAGGAGACAAGGCCAACGGCTTAACATCACTGCCTAATGACGCAACCATTGTAGTACCAGTCGTATTGGGTTTGAACTCACGACCTCCCGCTCAGCAGACCGACCTTCTTCCAACTGAGCTAACCACTGACTGTGCTGATTAGGGTTAAGCCCTGAAAATAGTGATTAGGGTTATTACCCGGGGGGGTACTCGCAGAAAAATTGGGTAGGGGTGTGCGGCCCGCTTCCCAAAACCCTTACCCTATTTATGACCAAAATCTGCGATTTTCCCTACCCTATTTATGACCTAACCAAAAATTTGAGACCCTATTTTGTGAAGGGCTTTTTTTGCTTGTATTTTCTAGCCTACAAAGCACCCGGTGGAGAGGAAGGCAAAGCGCGGATGAAAGGAGGGGGACATGATAAGGAAGTAGCTTCTTCTAAAAAAGTGCATTCAAGACTACAGTGCAAAAATCGTTACCCTATTTATGACCAAAATGGCGGCAAAATAGCCAAAATGGATACCCAATTTATGACCAAAACGGCTGAAAAACCCTACCCTTTGGGGCCGCACATACCTATATAGCCCATATTAGGGAGTACCCCCCCCGGGGGTTATTAGCATCGACTCCAAACGGTTAGCTTCTATTTAGGGTCAGGGTTGTTGCTACATATACCTTCAAATCAAACCTATTCTTGCCAGCAAATCCTCAGTGGCGTAGTGGTATAGGTGATGGACTGTAAGTCTTTTGCTGCTCAGTAAAACGAGGGTCCGTTCAAGAATTTGGCTTTTGTGATTTCTAATTTACCGAAATCATTAATCAAAATAGCCTATCATGAGCGGAATAGAATGGAGAAGAATCCGGTGGTCACAGTTTAAAGCGTTAACAGCCAGATGCCTTTATCACTCAACGTAAAGGTGCTGAAAGCTCTATTAAACTGTACGGTTTGAGCAATAGAGAGTTTAAGCTTCACATATAAGGCAAACGGCAGACGTCAGATTCAAGTTGAGAAGATAAAAACAGCTCAAAATAATTCTTGGCTTTTGCGTTTTCAGATTTACCGAAATCATCAATGCAAATAGCCTATCCTGAGTGAAATAGAACGGAGAAGAAGCAGATAGTCACAGTTTAAATTGTTAACCGCTTGAAGGTTTTATCACTCGACATAAAGTTTATGGAAAGCTCTACGTGCTTAACTGATTTCGAAACCTACGTTGCGCGTTGCGTGCTTCTGGAAAAGTTAGTGTTGCTTCTTTGCATTTAATTTGCCTTTGAAGATTTATGTTGAGGACTGAGCCTTTATACCAAAAAGTAATCCAATTAAAAATCATATCTGAGAGAAATCAGGAAAGTTTGTGCTCTGTATTTATTCCAAGATTGCACGTGTACACACCTGAAAAGAAACCCTTATCCTCACATCTGGTCATAAAACAGCCCGGTTTAGAGCAGTGAAGTTCTGGAATCTGGAGGGATCATCAGAGCTGTAATATGAGACTCAAAAAGAGTTCTAGATACTTTAGAACATGTTAGCAGAAATGTACATACAAGTTTTCCTGCAGCAGATCAGAACACATATGTTCGCTTGGTAACAAAAGAGGATAAAGGGGACAGAGAAGGCATCCCCCATACACACCCTATTCCATAGGTAACTCGTCTCGAGTTATTTTTAAGACCATAGATCCCAAGGGGGATTAGATAACAGCCAATCACATAGCGCGAATGTCTTCCGCGTGGATGACTCACTCTCAGAGCCACGCGTCCTTCACGAATTGACGCAGAAAAAAATGGCGAAAGACGCGGAGAGCGATATTGCTATTTGTTTTGTCGACGAAAACGACTAAAGAGAGAATTCTGCTAAAGCTGTGTCAGCGAAACGGAAATTAAAAAAGATCGCCCTTCCTCTCTTGTATAGAGCTAACAGTACAGCAGGGAAATCTTAACACAGTGAATATTCTCTCAGGATCACTTATAATTTACAGTTTGAAGAGAGCAATTTCTGGTTTGATATTTATTCTTTTATTAGTCTTTTATTATTCAACAAAAATAACGCTTGGCTTCCTACTTGCTTTATTGTACAAACGACCGGTTTCAATAGACCGGCGAAATTGATGTAAATTGGTATGGATTATTAATAACTTTCATTGGGTCATACATAATGCTGTACTGCACTTTTAAAAACTAAAAATACTTTATCTCACAATTATCTAAGGTATGAAAAGTGAATTTTGTGTATTTTTGAAGACTTGAATATCTAGGACCTTTTGCGTCCAACAGTTTTTTCTTCGATCAAAAACGATCTCCAAAGTAGCTATTTTAAAAACTAAGAGTGCTACCATGGCTTTTTTCTCTTCTCCTCCTTTCCTTCTCCCAGCTTTTTTTTTCTCCTTTCCTTTTCCTTTGTTACTATGATTTTGGAGCTTCTCGGGCTTAAGAAACATGCCTAATTTTACGCCTTTTCACTCAAATGACTGAAAATTTCGTTAGGTTGGCATTCAAAAAATCGGTTAGATATACATTTAGATTTACAAAACTTTACAAGTCCTAAATCTGGTCCTCAGACCATAAATTAAATGGTAAACATAGTACCACAATTTATAACACGGTGAAACAAATTTGCCCACAATGTAATAGACTATTTGTTTTGTATGGTGGCCCGGACGTAATGAAATTAACGCTCCATGAAATTAAGGTATGGGAAATAAACGCGACTTAAATATCATCAACAGACTTAAATATAAAAAAAATAAAAGTGTCCTCGGAGTGAAATACAGTCGGATCTCCACACTTAATGGCCATCTCTCTACCACGGCCACTTTTTTGGCGGACAGTCCACACACTGACTCTTGTTTAAACCTCTAAAACGGCCACTTTTTTCTGTCCCCAAGGTGGCCGTTGTGAAAAGGTTCAACTGTAGCTGTCTTCTAGAACAAGGAGCCCTTGATTGGCTCCTACTCGAACCCCATTCTCGTCCCCAGAGCTCGTCGTTTCTTTTGGGCACATGGTCTTGAAACGAGGAACTCGCCACTGGTCCGTTACAAATTAAGCCGAGTCGCCCTAAGGACGAGAATGGCTCGAACCCATGGACTGTCAACGCTATTTTTAAAAGGTAAGTGATCGAATGAAGGTTGAGAACAGAGGAAAAATGCGCAAAAACGTGTACATGCACCAATCCCCGAGGGCTTCTGTAGCTTGCGAGCACACTTCTCCTATATGTTTGATATACGTTTCCTTTACTGCTCTTTCGGTAAGCAACAAAGGAAGTAGGAGATGTCCGCACGCATGGCGAACGTGCTGTAACTCTGGTGATAGCTAAAGCAATTATAGTGAAGATAAAAAACGAAGCATTTTCCTCAGGACGACCCTTAATCATGAATTAAGTCTAAGTTCCGGCGAACCTTGAACTGAATCTTTCATTATCTTCCTTATGATTGGTTTAAACCACTGTAAACTAATAGCTGGTGATTCAGACAGCAGGAAAAAGCAAGGACTTTCAACGAAACATAATAAACGTAGTAGAGCGAGAGTTGTACTCACAAGCACCATGATTCATTTGATCTCCTTCGTGTTCTTTGTTTCGATTTTGCTGTCGATCGATTCGATCGCAGCCCAAACACAGAATCAGTTAGGTTCAAAAGGTGCCCAGCAGTGTACAATCAATAACAACTTCTACGCCGGACCGAATAAGAAAGTCGAAACTATGATGTTTGAGATGAAGAAGCAACTAGATGAAATTCAGAAGGAGCTTAGGAACTTAACGCAGAAAACAAAGAAAGAAAACAAGACTAAAGGTAGCTATCTAGATTTGTTGCTTATTTTATATCATTTCAGTCTGCAAATGAAATTGAAAAACAACGTACCTACATTGGGTTGTTGTAAAATAATGATCCTTCTTAATACGAACACCTCTCTATCATAAAGGCAGTTGTCTTCTCCCAAGGATATCAAAGTTGACTTTGCCGTTGAGAAAGGTCTTGTGATTTCTTATCTTTTACCCATTTATGATAAAATATCTCTAAATTATTCTTAACGTGACTATTGCCTAGGCTGCCTAAAACTCATAACCCATTCAGTAAGAGGGACAAAGTTTATGTCTTGAAAATGGCGTACGTATAGTTACGACTAAGAACGGAAAGCGCAAAAAACTCAGTCAAGCTTGTTATTTTTCAAAAATTATTACTTTAATCATGCAGAGTCTGTTTCTCCCAGCCCGACCGCAAAAGCGGAAACGGAACTACTGCGCCAGCTTAAGTTTATTATGGGCTTTTGATCAGTTGACGCATATGATAAATAAAATGAAGTTTTTTACGTGCATTGTCAACTCCCGCGGTTGGGGAGTAGGGGTACTCCCCATAATGGCCTATGCGGGGAGGCTCCGCACAAAGGGGTACCATTTTCAAGCCTCAGTAAATGGAAGGGTATGGATCTCACTAGTTGAAGCATATGAAACGGCATGGAAATCTATCATTTCGGACTGTAAAAAGACCCAGAAGGGTAACAGATGCATTTTATCATGGCTGTGAAAAAGTCGAGAAAACGGACTGGTTTTGAGATATATTCACATTTTAAAGACAGTACATTTAAAGCAGTTAAAAGGGATTCAAGGTTCTAAACTAAGTGGGTAAAAGAGGTACCATTTGTCAATAGAGGGTATTCGAAAAGGGTACATTTTCTGTCAAAAATGGTATATAAAAGGGTAAGGGATTGGACCTCGGGGTGGAGCCTCAAAGGTATAAAACTTTCTTGAGTACCCCCCGGAAGTCAGGTCGGATAAGGTTCTGTTTGACACTAAATTAAATTCTTCTTTCTCCTTTCCTTCTTGTTACTGTCCCTTAGCGATCCATTATCGCAAAAACTGTGCTGACGTGTACAAGTCAGGTGACAGGATCAGCGGTGTGTACACAATCGACCCAGATGGTTCAGGGGCCTTTGACGTGTACTGTGATCATAGTGCCCCCGGTGGGGGGTGGACAGTGTTCCAAAAGAGACTGGACGGCTCGGTTGATTTCTATCGCGGCTGGAATGATTACAAGCGTGGCTTTGGTAACCTGAATGGCGAGTTTTGGTTGGGGCTGGATAAGATTTATCGGCTGACCAAGAGTGAACGTTGCAAACTTCGCGTGGATCTCGAAGACACCGCGGGAAAGACAGCCTGGGCCGAGTATGACATGTTTGCTGTAACAAACGAGAGAACCAAGTACCAGTTAGGAATTGGAACTTATTCAGGTTTGTACGCATTATCTGAACAACTTTTCATTAACCAATGTATAATTTTAGAATTCAAGCACTTATATTAGAGAAGAGGAAATTATAAGTACGTGCGTGTGCACCATTGATCCTTGCTCGATTTAGCACATGATAATAGATGCGGTCACACCCTAGCGATTTTACCCATGGACTATGAATGTTTTTCGTTAAACACCGCAAACATGAAAGTGATAAAAACCCAGAGGGACAACAACCCAAGTTATTTCTCCCTGGGGAGCGTTGCGGAAGACGTGTAGTATGACCGCGCCTAATTGTCACTGAGTCTTGTGCTAGTCCAAACATCGAACATTTTTTAATAGGAACCAAACTTAGAGAGTTAAGTTCACGAGAAGTTCGACGTCTGGCTCAGTCAAGTTCGCCTCAATGAGTTTGGATCGTCCAACACATTCCATCCGTCTCTAGGACAAACGTTGATCTTTGCAACCGAGGAAGTAAACTGATAAATTAAAAATTTGTGAGGTAATGTATATTTAGCCTCGTTCGGGACAAAAAGTTATTAAGTTTGATTTCTGGTCTGATTCAGTTGACTGATTCGACGCGTCCTTAGTTGGACGTCTGACCCAACAGACGATCTTAACTGAATTAAGGTTGACCCAAATTAGAGTTTGCTTCGTTTCATGAAAAGTTCGACGTTTGGCTTAGGCCTTAACTGCTTTTTATGCTTAACTAGTAATTCAGCTTTGTGGCGATTTGTCTGTAGGAACAGCTGGGGATTCTTTGACCTATCATAGAGGTTGGCCATTTTCAACCAAAGATCAGGATAATGATAACTGGGGCAAACACTGTGCCCAACAGTTTAAAGGAGCTTGGTGGCACGAAAGTTGTCTCTATTCCAATCTAAAAAAAACGGCCCGTACTATCATGGAAAAATCTCAGGCAAAACTTCATACGTAGGTGTGGTCTGGTTTCACTGGAAAGGAGCTGACTACTCTCTGAAGAGAGCTGAAATGAAGATCAGGCCGGACAAGTTCTAGCAGGGGCACCCAACGGCAATTTTCGGGAAAATATCTGTTCGGAAGACGATTTGAGAACTAGAATTTTCGGAACATTTGTTGTAAAATTTCTTGCTTGCCTGCCTTTCCTAGGATTTTCGAACATCTACAAAATGGTATAATTACCCATTTTAAACGGATATTTACCCTAAAAAAGGCCACCTAGAATTTTCGGGAGCCTTTTCCTAGCTGAAATTTTTCGAAAAGGTAAGTTTTGATCCCTATAATTTTCGGATCACTAGACTTTCAGCTAGGAAATCCGAACAGATGAAAAGTTTTTAGGGGATAAAAATATGCCTATATCTACCGTTTAAATACTAAAATACGTTCAACAATGCTATGTTAAGTGGTTTTGAACTATATCCTCGTTGGGTGCCCCTGTTCTAGGAAAGCCTTTTTACTAAGCCCTTACAGTAGTACACTTGAAATGTCTTGAGGACACACGAAACGTTTCCAAAATTAAAAACCTTCACTGAGCTAGTTATAGATTGATAATATTTTCTAGCGATGAAGAATTAGGATAAGTTCTCTAATGGCCTAAACATTTTTTTATAGAGTGGAACCCCTTTATTAGTACCACCGTTGGGCCATGGATAATAGAAAGACCAAAACAGTTTGGTCGCGGTTGGTCATGCATCAGCGAATTAACAGATAGCGGTTGAAAAAGCACGCTTATTTCCGTTGAAAGACGTAAAGCCCTCTTCCGATCACTAAATGATAAAATTTCTAACTTTTGATAACTTGTTTTCGCCACAACGACATTCCTTGCTAAAACCCGTAGTAGACTGACGACGGCTACCACAGTTTTCCCGCCAAAATGCAACCTCGTCCCCAGGGCTTTTCCCTTAAAAAATGGGTGGACCCCATCCATTTTTTAAGGGAAAAGCCCTGGGGACGAGGTTGGCCAAAATGACGTTGGTAATCGTACGCGTGCACTACTTAAAGGGTGCGTTCTTTGGGGATGATCTGGATCAGGATCAGTGATCCGAGACCATTCTGATCATGGTAGATCAAATTAACCGATGAATCCACTATGGACAAGGATTCATCGGTTCATTTGATCTACCATGTTCCAAATGATCTCGGATCACTGATCCTTATCCGGATCATATCAAAGGAACGCACCCTTACTATTGAGAAAATCTCGATCTCGTAGTCGACCTCGTCTTAGAATCTAAAGCTCTCTAGTATCCTGTCGAAAACTTGATGTAACAAGCTATCTCTAGTTTCATATGCGGTGGGAACATTTTTGTAATATATTTTTCGACTTCAGTGGCGTCCAAGCAGAACTGAATTTATTCGCGATTACTACAGGATAATAGTGATGAATTCTGGGATAGCCTACCATCGTCCGATCGTCTCAGTCGTCTGAGAGCGTTTCCATATGATCGCTTCAAAATTTTCACGATCGTCCCGATCGTCCTGATAGATCTCAGCTCTATCCAACTCTATCTATCGAGGTCCTGTTAGTAGTCCGGGTAGCCTTTCTATTTGATCGTCCCGCTCTGAAAATTATTTGAGACGACTGGAACTATCGGGTACGGGACGATCCGGACGATCATATGGAAACCAGGCTTTGAAAGAGTCACACCAGTCACTAGACAAGGCGAATTCAGTAGACGTAGTAAATCTATGAAGAAAATAACAGCTTGACTTCAAGAGATGGCCGGTGGTCCACCCAGGACTAGGTGGTGTTTTATATCAACGAGGTTGTAGAAGAAGGATATGACTGGACTTTTGTTCGGGCCAGAGATAATGGTTTTACTTTGTCGTTCTACGATACAGTTAACGTTTACCCGTAACAAAACGCTGCCTAGTTTTCAGCCATATATGGGGAGTCTCCTTGTTTTTATCTTGTTAACAGCCGGTATGCGGTACACCTCCTGCTGGACTGTAATACCAAGTTTGTTAGATAGATTTTGTAGTTTAATATAACTTTATTATAGGAAATTAACGCGAATTAAATCAACGGGAATTTAGTACAATAAGTGGAAAACGACTTTGGATTAACGCATTACGTTCACAAACAAAAAATATTTTACTTACTCTGAATTCCATTGTGCCGTTTTATCGAAGGACGCAGTTGAAATTTTTGAAATAAGATATTCGGCATCTCACAAATTTTTCACAACCGTTGTTTGACCCATAAGAAGATATAACTTTGGGGGTTTGCACAGTCATATTTCCTCTGCAGAGTCCTTTTTCTGTAATTTTCAAGAATAAAATCAAGTGGAAGCTGATTACGTAGGGAAAATAGGGCTTCCGACGTCCCTTAGCAAAAATCTGCTCGATTCTGCTGATAGTGAAACCAATTATACTGAAGATAAAAAAGAGACATTTACCTTAGAACGACTCTTAATCATGTTTAGACTATACTTGATAAGTTTTGCGCCAGCACGAAAATCATACCGGACTGGACTTCTGTTCACACATTTTATAAGAACAGTGATTTAGGTGCGATTTCTGTAACGTATGAAGCTGCGCCGGGACGATCTCAAAAGTGAAACGTCAAATATCGGATAGTTTCTGTGCCACACTTAAGTGTATTTTATCCTGCGAGCCTTTATCCGCCGAGCTTCACATCTCGGTAGATTTACTTTGTGGTCTAGCTAACGGCCGACGAGCTACACAACTCCGCGGTAGATTTACTCTGTGGCACTACGGCCGCCTAGTTACACAACTCAGTTTTAATTTGTGGCACAACAGACGCTGAGCTTCACAACTCGCCGGTAAATTTACTTTGTGGCACAACGGACGCCGAGTTAAACAACCTGGTTTGATTCATGCACCAGGAGTAGCACGCATTTTCCAAAGAAAAATATGAAGGCTTAATCCAAAGTAAAATTTTACTCAGGGTGTAAACTTCCAGCACACTTTTGAAAGTGAACGCTTTGGAAGATTCATCAAACGCAGATCGATAGTAGACCTTCAGGAAACTCTTAAATATGTACGCTTTACGAAAATTCAGCCCAATTTTAAAAGATGAAAGATTTTCGAAGAACATTTTTGTAATATTTTTTTCGACTTCAGCGGCGTCCAAGTCGAACTGAATTTATTCTCGATTACTATAGGATAATAGTGATAAATTCTGGGATAGCCTACGATCGTCCGATCGTCTCAGTCGTCTGAGAGTGTTTCCATATGATCGCTTCAAAATTTACACGATCGTCCCGATCGTCCGGATAGATCTCAGCTCTATCCAACTCTATCTATCGAGGTCGTGTTAGTAGTCCGGGTAGCGCTTCCATATGACATGATCGTCCCGCTCTGAAAATTATTTGAGACGACTGGAACGATCGGTTACGATCATATTGAAATCATGCTTTATGCACCCCAAAAGAGTCACACCAGTCACTAGACAAACCGAATTCAGTAGACGAAGTAAAGCTATGAAGAAAATAACAGCTTGACTTCAAGAAATGGCCCGTGGTCCACCCAAGACTAGGTGGTTTTTTATATCAACGAGGTTATAGAAGAAGGATATGACTGGACTTTTGTTCGGGCCAGAAATAATGGTTTCACTTTTTCCTTTTACTATACAGTTTACGTTTACCAAACAACAACAAAAATTCATCTCGTTTGTGCATAGTATTTAGGATTTGACTGATCTTGATGGTTAGTTTTGTGTTAGTGAAATTCTCATTACGATGGGAATGGGCTAGCTGGTCAGTTCCGACATGAGCACCCTAAGGCCCAGTTCAGACTTCGTGCTTCTGCCGTGCCGAACTTAATTGTAATTTGGTTCGACTGTAGCACGGTAGGAAAACAATTTTGATTCAGACGTCGTGCCAGAGTCGAACCAAATTCAGGATTTACTGATGCCTCGTAACAATTCTTCTCCCAACTCCCCGTGGGAACGCAATCTCCCCAAAATACATTAATATAATTTATGAATTTTGTTAAGCGCGGCAGAAGCACGACGTTTGAATCGCTGCCGTGCCAGAGCCGTGTAGCACGGCAGCGCTTGTTGAACTTAATTGCTTGCCGAACTTAATTCAAAAGTTTGATTCAGACGCCGTGTTTCTGCCGTGCCGAACTTAATTCCTGAATTTAGTTCGGCACGGCAGAAGCACGACGTCTGAACTGGGCCTAAGATAGACACGAAAGCTATCCGATATAGTCGAATATCCTGAGTCTATGTTCCGGCGGAACTTGGATTATTTTTTCTTATCTTCCTTATGATTGATTTAACCGACGGTAAACTAATAGCTGATGATTCTGACAGCAGGCAAAAAGCAAGGCTGCCGGTTCAAGTTCACAAACTAAACATAGCAAAGCAAGAGTTGCGCTCAGAAAGCACCATGATTCATTTTATCTCCTTTGTGCTCTTTGTTTCTATGTTGCAATCAATGGATTCGATCACAGCCCAAACACAGAATCAGTTAGGTTCAAAAAGAGCTCAGCAATGTCCAGCCAATAACAACTTCTACGCTGGACCGAATAAAAAGCTCGAGAATATTATGTTTGAAATGAAGAAGCAACTGGATGAAATTCAGAAGGAACTTAGAAACTTAACACAGAAAACAAAAAAAATGGAAAACAAGACCAAAGGTAGCTATCTACGATTTGTTGCTTATGGTATATTGTTCTAGTCTAGTATAAATCTAATTGGAGTATTCATTTGAAGTAAAGTGTAAGACTGACATAACGTGGTTATTGCAGAAGAATGTTCTTTTTCTTATTTCTAAAACTTGACTTGGTCTCTCAACTAACTACGATTACTAAACTCAACTAACTATGATTTTCGGAACATTTGTTGTTAAGTTCTTGGACGCATGCCTCTTAGGATCTTCGAACCTCCCAAACATGGTATAATTGCCCATTTTAACGGATTTTTACCGTAAAAAGGTCACCTACAATTTTCGGGAGCCTTTTTTCTGGCTGAAATTTTCGAAAAGGTAAGTTTTGATCCCTAGAATTTTCGGATCACTAGACTTTCTGAACTTTCTGAACTTTCTGAACTTTCTGAAATCTGAACAGATGAAAAATTTTTAGGGGATAAAAATATGCCTATATCTACCTTTTAAATACTGAAACACGTTCAACAATGCTATGTTTAAGTTGGTTTGAACTATATTCTCGTTGGGTGCCCCTGGTTTATTTATGGCATCAACAAATATTGTTTCTGTCTTGAAGTGACATTTTTTTAATACCTACTTAGTTATTATAACAAAGAGAAAAGCGTATTAAAAATGATACCATATTGTTCCTATTAATCCTGCAGAGATTTTTTCTTCTAGTCCAATCACAAAGGCTGAAAAAACGAATTGAGAAACTGAAAAGCGTCTGATTAAAGACTTAGGTCATTTTACGCACGAGATAAATGATCATGAAATGAATTTCATCACGTAGTCTGTAAAGATTCGATTCTGTTGGACTCTAATTTGAATTCTTCATTTTCCTTTTAACAAATCTTCTTCTTCGGTTCTTCAGCGATCCATTATCGCAAAAACTGTGCTGAAGTGTACAAGTCAGGTGATAGGATCAGCGGTGTTTACACAATCGACCCTGATGGTTCAGGGGCCTTCGACGTGTACTGTGATCATAGTGCCCCCGGTGGGGGGTGGACAGTGTTCCAAAAGAGACTGGACGGCTCGGTTGATTTCTACCACGGCTGGAATGATTTCAAGCTTGGCTTTGGTAACCTGAATGGCGAGTTTTGGTTGGGGCTGGATAAGATTTATCGCCTGACCAAGAATGAACGTTGCAAACTTCGCGTGGATCTCGAAGACACCGCGGGGAAGACAGCCTATGCCGAGTATGACATGTTTGCTGTAACAAGCGAGAGAACCAAGTACCAGTTAGGAATTGGAACTTATTCAGGTGTGTAGGCTCATCATCTGAACAGGACTAGAATATGAGGTCAAACATTTTCGTCGTTGTCTTCTACTCATGCCGATTTCTTTCAGGATGTGAGGATCACAAGTTTATGGAGTCCAACATTATGGAAAGTTCTTTTTTTTAATCTGACATGTTTTAGCCTCTGTACAGCTCGCTTCTCTCGAGAAGGCAACGTTATGTTTTTTCAATTATCCAGTCGCTCTCTCCTCTGTTGCAGATCACTCACTCCTTTGGCGCGAAAACATTTTCCGCAATTTGTAAAGCAGTTTGCGCGGCCAAAATTAAGAGTATGAGAAGAGATATAAAAAGAGTTCAGATTGTAGTGGGGAGAGCAAAAGCCCAGCCTATAGGCCGCTGATTAAAATTGTCCTTTCACCTTTATCCCTCACAAGAAAGCCTGTATGCATACTGGAAACCTAAGGCAGTTGGCATATGTTGGTTTTTCTTTCCTCGAAATCTCTGTGCGGTTAACTATGTTTTCACAATTTCTTTTTCTAACAACACACAAAGCGTCTTAATTTATTTTATTAACGACATTAGCTAATGAATTTAGAATGCTTCACGAAGTACTAAACTGTTTTGCAATTTGTCCGTAGGAACAGCTGGGGATTCTTTGACCTATCATAGAGGTCACCCTTTTTCAACCAAAGATCAGGATAACGACAACTGGTCCAAACACTGTGCGGAGCACTGTAAAGGGGCTTGGTGGCACGACACTTGTCTTACTTCCAATCTTAACGGCCCATACCGTCATGGAAAATTTTCATCCAAAACTTCATCCGACGGTGTGGTCTGGGTTGATTGGAAAGGAGTTGATTACTCCCTGAAGAGAGCTGAAATGAAGATCAGGCCGGAAAAGTTCTAGAAAAGCCTTTTTACTAGGCTCGCGTCGCTGTAGCATAAATACGCACTATTATAAAAGGTGCAGAGGCCACACCAAGGTTTTTCGAAATATATACCTTTACTGAGCTATGAGTTTGATTGTATTCTGTTTTGTATTTCTATTTTTCTCTGATTGCGGAGTGGAACCCCGTTTATTACCACCACCTTTGGACTCAATAACGGATCTGGAAAATGTGGTCACGGGTTGGTCAGCGTATTAACGAGTTATTAATAAAAACCTCTCTTTCAAAATTTATGGAGTCAGTTAAAGTTCTGTAGCTTCCCAAATTATATGGTAAATTAGTCTTTCGTTAAGTTCTGTCACCTTGTAAGCCCTAAGATATTTTTTTCTATAGATTATATGATATGTTATCATGTTTTATTAGTTTTCATAGCTATTATGTGCTCTTCTCATGTTAACATTTTTTATATTCATACATAAATTTAGGATCTATTTCAGCCGGACTTCCTTGATAGCATAGTAATAGCGTTTTTTCTCTTCTATTTCTTTCTCTTAATTGTGTCCGCATTTGTGCTACAGTATTTTGCTGACCTGGCTGGCTCAGCCAGACTCCATGGTTATTCCAGGCAGCCAGTACTCTAATTTCGTTTTCGATATTTTGATTCTTGTAATTTCTTACAAGGCAAGAGGAAGTAAAAATGTTGTTGTTATTATTGTAGCGGCAATGATACTTCTCATTTCTAATTTGGATCATTCTGTAGACTGATTTGAAAATTATCACTTTAACTCTCAATCACACACTATTTAGAGAATAAACTTTTATACTTAGCCTGCGAATACAGCAGTCTCTCCTCCTCCTAGCCGCTAGAGACGTTTCGCTTCGTAGCGGCGAGGAGCGAGGAGTTGAAATCACAGGATAGTGTATGTTGTGGTTCAGATTGTTTTGTTTCCTCACTTATGCAGGCGCCATCCTCACCAGGCATTAGACTATCCTATCGAATTCAATAGAAGAAGTACAATTGTGAGGAAAATAACAGCTTGACTTCAAAAGATGGCTGTTGGTCCACTGGACCGCCAGCGGTCGTCCTTCTTTCCTCAGAGCCACGGGTGGCGAGTGAAAAAGTAAAATTAAGCATTCCAAATTAATGGAATAAAGGAGCAGAAATTTTGCTCGCGCTTCGGCCCTCGTTCCTCGCGGCGTCGCCGATCGCCCTCACGCGTGCTCTCGATCTACATGTACTGTGATTAAAAAGAAAAATAAGAGGCTGTTCGCAGTCTATTGATCCACTCAGTGGGTGATGTCTTTTATATAAACGAGGTTGCAGAACAAGGAAGTGACTGCACTTTTGTTCGCGCCAGAGGTAAACGGTTTTACAGTGCGGTTTTACTATAGGCAGTTTATGTTACCCCTAAGTAACGAAAACGCTAGTTCAGCCATGTAAGGAGTCTCCATGTTCTTATCATGTTAAGTTAAAGTTAAGAGGCGATATGCTGTACACCTCCTCCTGGACTGCGCTACCAAGTTTATTCAGGGATCCTGACTGTAGCCGGGTCGATCTGCATATACCACCCGACCGGTAGCCCAGTGTTACGTAATCGGAATAACTAGACCTTTTTAAACTAGAGTTCCTTCAACCTGGTCAAAATCCTTAAATAGGCCGATAAAAAGACAGATAAAGTCAGGCAGCCACCTCTTGTGCCGGAAAACGTCCACTGACTCGTTGGTTTAACTGCTTAGAATGACAAAATATAGGACCCCATGTTATGATTAAATTAACCAGCAAAAATCGCACAAAACCTAACACATGCAATCCGACGTTGTTATGGAACTTCTAGAAGGCGCGGGGTCCTCAAACCCTTGGAGTCACTCGGTAACTCCATAAGGTTCCGTGGGTACTTACGTTCTACATATTTAAATATACACTGACACCTGTCATTTTTTTTGCTACCATGCAACTGAATTCGTGAAGTTGTGTGTCGGCCACATAGTCAATTGTTGCAGTTCGATCAGCCACATGTACCACCCGAACGAATTTCGCGAGATGTAGTGTGAAGGCGGCCCAATTAACCGCAAGGGGTCTCTAACTAGAACGGGTCTACCGTATATTCTAATTGCCAACTAATTTATTGCTTACAATTTCTTTTTAAAACATTGGCGGTGCCGTTTTTTGTCACAAAAATTGCATCGAATGTTTCGGCTTCCCATTGTTCAATTTGCACAGGTAGGAGGGGACTATACCATATATGGCGTCAGTATCAGGAGCCATAATCGGAGTAGGAGACCGCAAGAGCGGGGTCCAGGAGGTTCCATGTGCTATTTTTAGAACAAACTGCGCCACCTTCAACGTCACAAACTCGAGCGGGAACCCTCAAATTTGCTGAACTCGCATGGAATTTCAGGAGATGGGCGATCGTCTTGCGACTTTATTTGAGTGCTCTCTTAACTTTGGCAAGCGCTCAATAACATCTCGATATACGATGCATGCACACTGAAAGAATAAACCAATGTTAACATTACTACAAATACGGACACCTGCTTGTTCATATTTTTACATCCGGCAGGAGCAAGCCTGATAGAAGTTGGTCGAATCCAGCTTTACGGATACCTCGTTATTACGGACAGTTTTCCTTTTCCCTGGGGAAAGTAAGCCCTCACATTTTCTCGAAAATTCACCCCGCTTAACACGGACACCCCGTTGATAGGGACACTTTCATGTCCCGCTTCCCACCCACCCCCCCACCCCCCCGTGTCTATATTAACTGGATTTGCCCTAGAAATTCGCCCCAGTCTCTTTGGGATTGTTTTCACTTTAGATGTCTTTCGTGACAAGGCAGTGTATAAATACGTCCGCTCCGGAAAATTTGCTACAAATATAAAGGACGTATTTTATGTGAAGAAAAACCAACAAGGTTTGATACAACATGATCTTAAAAAGTAGGTTCGCTGATGTTACAATTCCTCAGAATATGTCATGGCCTGAATATGTCTATCGGAACTTTGACAGCTACGGTGACAGGACAGCAATTGTAAGTAGCCAACAACCTTATAATTCGGCTAAGACTATACTAATGGCGCTCTTGAACTCCAATCAGCTAATAGATAAACTCCAGAGCTAAATGGCTAGTTTTCTTGGGGGGATAGGAAAAATTTCCTAGTTCCGTGCGATCCTTGTTATAAGCGGCCTATTCCTCTCCGTGGAAAACATGTCAATGAGGTCACTTTCAAACTGGGCGTTTTAGTGTGAATGGATGTGTTAGAGGTTGAGGGTAGGCTCGCTTTATTACGGATGTCAGAGGATGTATTTATATTTTTCCGAACAAGCAGATCTTTTCAGTTTATTTTGTTGGGGACCGGACATATTACTAAGGGGCGGTTTCGGTTCACGGTCGTTCTCTAGACTTTCTAACGGAAAGTTTATAAACGATGTATGGGTGTAGTCTAGTGATAGCCTTCCTCAGGAAAAGAATAAAAAATGCTCGTAGAAAGAGACCTGAACCTGCCATTTCGTGAGAAATGTTCATACTTTAGTAAGTTAATAAATCAGATAATACGCGAGAATCTCGAGAGCAGAACCACAAGTATAGAACCCGAGATTGAAGAATGTTTTGATTTCAGACACCCCTTTGTCCGGTTGCGGTCAATACATGTTGAATAGCTGTTATAGCTTCTATGCAAATTTAAGGTCCCTTTACGCAGTATCGGCTTTCGTGTTTGCCGTCAGCTATAGAGAAAAAAATTTACATAAGACTTCTTTGTGATGTGCCTCTTTTTGCATACTGGTCACGCAACTTATGAATGCCTATAAATATTTACTGAAGATCGCGGACACTGCCGACTTTTAAATTTTCTGGTAGACTTAAAACTCACTATAGTCGTAACAGACGGGAAGATAGCTATTTACCGAGTTAGAATTTTGAGTTGTTGGATATGAGAAGGGGGCGGGCGGGCGGGGAGGGTTAGTCTCATACACAGCCGTTTTTTAGCGTCGTCACACCCAGACTAACGGGAGGGTCTTGGATTTGGTGCTGTCCAAGATGAATTAAAACCAGGATGCTGCTCTAACGAACCCTCCTTTAACAATGGAAATTCATTGAGACAATATGAGGCCGTGTTCAAATGTCCTTTACTGCCGAGGCGAGTGCAAAACACTTTGTTCAGCGACAGCCTCAGTTCTCTTTCCCGATCAATGCTCTGTTTTCGACATTTTAAAACATGCCTGACGGCTATGCCATGCTGCTGAGCCCCACGAAGGGCGAAACAGCTGTCTATGGTTGCCACTGCCCGGTTGATATGGTTGTACACATGCGTAAGGTGCTGGGCATACCGCGGAGCTGGTACTGTGCTTTAGTGATGGTAAAATTAAAGGTGTTGTTTACAACCCATGCTGCCATACACTCCCAATTAATGATTATTAATGCAGATGATTACCTGCCAGACTAGAAGAAAACGAGTAAAATTGCCGTGACAAAATAATGTAGAGCGCCTGTTATGTATCTTGCTTTCAGATCGATGGGGTATCCGGCCACTGCTACACGTTCAAACAACTCAAGAGCTTAACTAGAAAGTTTGCTTCCTCTCTGGTGAAAAGAGGCTTTATGAAAGGAGAAGTTTTTGCTATCTATCTTCCTAACATTGTAGAATATGCTATCATTTTCTACGGTGTGGGCTTCGCAGGGAGTACCTCTACCACAGTGAACCCACTTTACACCGCCAAAGAGTTAGAGAAGAAGCTAAGTGAGACGCAGGCTACGTATCTTGCTACATCGCGCCAGTTCCTGGACAAAGCTTTAACTGCAAATAAGGCCCAAGGGAAAATAAAAAAGATCATTGTCATCGGTACGTAGAGTTAACAGGTTTGTTGAGGTCAGTTCGTTTTGTTGTCGCAGTTATCTTACTCATCTCCCCAACTTGAACTCTGTGCTTTGTCCCTTGGGGGCGGGTAGTCAGGGAATGTTTCGGTGGGAGTTCTCCTCTGCCGTGGACCCTGAAACCCTTGACCTATACCACCCATGTTTAACTGCTGATTTTGCCGACTTTATTCTAGACTAGGTACCAAATACCCCTAAGTCTATCACCGCTACGAAACAGAAACTTCATTTTTCATGCCATTGTTGGGTTCCTCAAATGATACCAAGACTAAAACTGCCTGAAAGCCCATCTCCTCCTAGAAGCACGTACCACTCCGGCTGGCTTTTTAACTCTCGGACTACTCATTCCACTCATAACGCATTTTCCATAATACACCTCATTTGCACCCCAAAATTTTGCATAAGCAATGTTTTTAATTTCTCTCTGGGCGACTGTCTTAAAAACAAGGAGAAGTTGGATTTAAATGTTTACTCAAAATTTTAGGGGACATCGCAACGACAATTTTTAGCGCTACAGCGCGTTGCAAGAGGGTCTCAATGGGGTGGTGGCTTTTACGGTTATCGGCTAAAATTTTGGCTCTTTTACGGCTATCGGTTAATTTTTTTCAGTTACGGTTAACGAAAAAGTTAAAAATTAACTTCTTTTGTTTCAAAGAGTTAAATATTAATCAACCTGTATTTTTTTGAATAAGGGTCTTCGGATCATCTCGGGATGAAATAAGCTATTCTTTTATAAAGTATTTCACTTCTAATATTATTTTACACATAGTAATGTCAATAGCCAATTGAAAAATTATCTTCGTGAAAAAGCAAAAGCAGACACACGAACGCCAAATCAAAGCCGGGGCGCGACATTCATTAAAACAGAAATGGCCGTTTTCACACTAGAGAAGGATTATTCGTGTGAGACGGGTTATCCGTTTGATGATTCGCGTCAGATAGGTAATATGTCTTAATTTGAAAATGGAATAGTTTTAATTTGGAACGAACAATCTGCCTGACTTTTGAAGACGGGATTATCCGTTCCAGATAGCCTGTGTACAGCCGCCCCCTCCCCTCAGAAAAAATCGGAGAAGGGGTGTCTGTGGAGAGGACGCGACTAGACACAGGCTAGTCTCAGACGGATGATCCATTTCTAGCTATAGTGTCAAAAAGGCCAATAACAAAATTCCCGTGTCCAGTGTTTTTAATGATAGCGAAGGACTACGGAACGATTGTCTGCCGTTGCCTTGTCCGTAGGCTGCATTATTCCGCACGGCTAATGCGTTTCGGGTCACGTGGTCCGAGCGAGTTCACCACCGAAATGCCTTGACCGAAACTGCGTGGGTAGACGCCGTACAGGGACTAGGCATGGCAATGTCTACCGTAGCGTCAGAGAAAAACAGGGAAATGTTGCTTATCGGCAACGAGTTTTACAAACAGTGACATCTCTGCGTGTTGTTTCACTAGTGTTTCGAGGGCACGACCTCCGGAAAATTGCAAATATTAATCCCCAGCAAGAAGCCACACTTTCGCTAGTTAGTTCCCAGAGAGAGCGCCGGAAATGGAGCCTAGGTCTAGGTTAACTCCTAAAAGGCGCTTCGCCTAACGTGCGTATGGAGTCACACTAGCCGGGAAATAAAAAACGCAACCATAAGTGAGTTTAGTACCTTCCTTAAAAGTAGCAAATCTAGGGAACACTTTCTTTTACGGTTAACTCTTTTTTACCCTAATTACGGCTAACGGTTAAAATTTTTCAATTTTTACGGCTATCGGCTAAATTTTTGGCCGTTTTACGCCTATCGGTTAACCCCATTGAGACCCTCTTGCAACATTGATACGACATTGTTCTGAATGGTTACAAGATTGTTCCAACATGGCAACGCTGACGGTTGTACTAAAAATCGTCGTTACGAATCGTCCTTTGTAACATCACCTTTATGGGAAATACGTAAGTGGTGAATAAGGTAATATAGTCAACTCTCTCCAAGACGGTAATCGCTGATAACGGCCCTGCTGTCCGACTTAGCGAGTTGCCAGTCGAGGTGACGTGATACCAGTAATACAGGAAAATAAATCTGAACCGATTGACGTCTGTTTTACTTATGTAAAACAGTAGGAAAATGAAACACTTTCTCATTGTGTAATCAAACGTTCATTTCATGCAAACATTCATGGCTTAGCGATCTAAAAGCGTAACAGTTTACATTCGAGTATACCACTCTCTGCGCACTGGAACAAGACTACGAAAAAATAAACTACATAATTACATAAAGCACGTCTCAAGTGTCCTTTGATGGCCTCAAAAATGTCCTTTATTCGTGTTAGATAGGTTCTTGTCTTTTTAATGGATAGTTTAATTGCAGTAAAATGACTCCCGAAATAACGGCAGGGACCATGACAGGGTGTCCATCTTCGAGAGGTGCCCGTTATGAGAGAGTTGACTGCATGCATAATTAATTGAAAAATACGTATTCGACTGCTATGAGAAAAGAAGATCATTAGTTGTTTGGGTTAACATTGATTATAGTTCCACTAGTGTGCAATTTCTGTTATGATTTTAAATTATTTGGATAAAGTCGATATACATAGGACTGTATAAGACTCCAAATAAAACATTGTCTTGTCTTGTCTTGCATAACGAACCGTTCTTTAACAGATCCAGAGGAGGAAGTTAGTAACTGCGACTATGAGCTGTTTACCCAGCTCGTTGACGACGACGAAGCAAGCTTTCCAGAACAGATCGCGATACATAAAGACGACTTATTCAACATACCATACTCAAGTGGTACCACAGGGTTTCCAAAGGGAGTAATGGTCACCCATGGCAACATGCTAGCCGACATTTGCATAATGCTGGGCTCAGGAACTTTGGTTTTAACAGAAGAGACTGTTCTATTGGCACTGCTTCCGTTTTATCACACGTATGCTCAGCTTATTATGCTTGGTGCGGGCTTAGCCCAGGGATGCAAGGTGGTTGCTTTGCAGCGATTCGAACCAGAAACATTTTTGCAAGTGATGCAAAATTATAAGGTGGGATAAGCATTTCTGTCAGATCTCATTTTTTCTGCGAGAAGTACATATAGGGGACGTTTGAAACAATTGACACACAAGTCAAGCGAGTGCCATAAGAGCGGTAATCTTTTAAAGCTAAAATATTACTTTCAGACCTTCGTCACAACAGGCGTATTCCCCTTGCCCGTCCTCCATTTTGTTCTTTGTCTTTAACCCTCTAAGCCCTAAGAGAATCAGCATCTAATTTCTCCTTTTAATATCAATGCTTTGTAAAACAGAGTGGTCATGAGAATTACGGACATGATCGCGCAAGATGAATTTGCTTGATATTTTATCAACCTCTCCTCACTACTTCTGTAGGAAATGAATAGGAGCAACAAATGAGAATTCAAATTTTGATCTTCGGGTTTAAAGGATAAAGTGCCCGATATCTTATTGGTCGCATTTTTTCTCTTCCCAAGGCATGTAATCTTGCTTTGTAAACTGTCTGTGTTCAAAATCAAAGATGGAACTGACTTCTCGTCGACCATAGAATAGGCCTCTACTGGATTGGTTTCCTTGAAATTCAGTTCCCCGGAAAGTTTTGTTCCGCCGGAGAGCTAAATTTGTCAGTTTTATTTTAATCAGGTTACATATGCACCAGTTGTTCCTCCGATTGTGCTCTTTCTGGCCAAGGATCCGTTAGTCGACAACTTTGACTTGTCTTCGGTTGAGGAAGTCTTATGCGCAGCTGCTCCAATGGGCGATGGTCTAGAGGACGCACTGAGCAGACGATTGCCCAAAGTGAAAGAAATTAACCAAGGTATTTTACAAATCGGAAACTACAAAATGTTATATTTGAATGAATAATTACCATGCCAAGAACGTGGGACAAGGAAAAAATGCTTGAGAACTAGCCGGACAGGATTGAAATGACTAGAAAGGATTTGGGTCAGTATTAAGTTGGTTAACAGGCCTTTTTTAACAACTCGAGTTGTTTAAGGCCTGTGTCCAATGGGCTTACCTGTAGAAAATAATTTATTGGCTATATCATAAACAAAGAGTATGGGGCACTGAATTATAATTTGGCAATGAATATTTTGTTGGTAAGTCACGTGGCATGTCACGTGGCCTTAATATTACGTTTTGCAAAAGAAGACTTCAAGATTTACTTCTGGGGAAAATTCCATCTTGTTCTAGGTATCCTAGCGAGAGTTATTGCCATTCAATCATATTTTTCGGGCGCACCTTTCGTCCAGGTTTGAAACCCCTTGGGAAACCTTTACATATGGAAGTACATCACAGCCACACAGATGCTCGAACTTAGAGTCCACAGTGGAACTCGTTAAGTCCCGCTGTGTTCTACAGAGTTGCTTGGTTCTCAGTTTGTCTATGTTTTACTATGTGACGTTTTATAGTTAATTCCTATCACAGGTTATGGCATGACAGAAATGCTTGCTACTCATATGCAGCCCAGGGGAGGCACGAAACCCGGAAGTGTTGGTGTCCTTATGGCCAACTTGGAATGTAAGGTAAAAGTTTTCTATATGCATAAAAACTATTTTCCTTTCCAACCATGAAATTTAGAAATGTTTAAATAAGTACATACATATACATACAATCATATAACTTTACTTAAACTCGGATTTAGAATAGTTTGAGAGAGAGCTAGTATCTCCGAGTATAATAATATTTAAGAAATACAACAAAATTGATAAAGTATGAAAGTATAAAATTGCTACGACTATTATTAGTTTCGTCTTACAAAAAAAATTACACAGTAATATTATGAATAGCGCGCTTAAAAGCAATGAGAGATTGAGGAGCAGTATATCTGAACGATTGTAATCTATAGTAGGTTGTAGTAACTCTTGATAGATCCAATTTTAGGGTACCTCTGAGGTTATACGCAGTTGTTCGTTCTTTTAATGGTGATCTGAGCCGTGTTGGGGCAATTCCTTATATTAAAGAGTCTTGTATTCCCTTATCAAATTCCTCACGTAGTGAGGTAACGTTGATTCATCGCTGGATTTGCCACGCTACGATCTCTTTAGCCTACCGCGCCACAGGAGAAACATCTGGCTAAGTCGTCTTCGAAACAGCGTCGAAATCTTTGTCCTGGGCCCCCACCTGTGTACTGGGACTCGAGTTCGCGCAATGATTGGACCGTTGAAAAAGCCATTGTTGATTTTGCCAATCAGGTTGAAGAAAAATGCGAAACGCACTTCGAGTAATTCGTAGCGTCCGTCGGCGGTCCAGAGAAAGGATCTCGGCGCTTCTTCGCAGGCGTTACTTGCCATGGTTGTTCACAGCTGTCGATATAAAAGCCACTCGATCTCCTAAGCGTTCGATTGCTCGTGGACGACTTCCGTATGAAAAAGAAGGGAATGCTCTTCACCTTGCGATGTAATGCAAATTCTGGTCTCACTTATGGAGTTTAGGATGGAAAGCTTGGCAATAGTTTTACCGGTATTGCTTTGGGTTGTGCGTAAAGAATTACAATAGAACCTCCTAAAGCGACCACCCAAAATGAAGAGATTTAGCAGTCACTCACGGGAGGTGGCCGTGGACGAGATCGACCCGCAGATCGTCTTCCCGAGGAGAGTTTCGACCACATCTATTTTTTTTGCAGACAATGTACTGTATGAAATGTGTAACTGTTTTGTGCATACGTGTAGTTTCAGTTGTCATTAAAAGGTCTTCGTACGTATACTCTTAGTGGAGTAGTACATACAGGGAACAAAGGAACCACACCATTAAGCCAAATGGTCGCTTACGAGAAGAGGATGAAAACAATGGAAAACTATGAATAAACCGTTGTGCCAAAAAGTGGTCGTGGTCGATTGGTGGTTGCTGATGGGAGGTGGTCGCTTATGGGAGGTAGTCGAACAAGGAGGCTAGACAGTATTTAAACAGTCATATGCTGTCGTGCCATGTTGAACACCGCATTTGATTTCATCATCTTTAGCACAATGATCGAACCGATGATGATGGCAGCAAAAAGTTTTAAATAGATGGTAATCTTAAATTACAGAACCTTATATATTTAATTCAGCACTTAAACTCGTTGTTATGTACTTCATTAAAAAGGGAAGTGTTCATATGTTCAATGCTTTGCCAAATAGATTTTGGATGTATCAACTGGTGTTATTCTTGGTCCACATCAAGATGGAGAAATTTGTGTGAGGGGGCCAACAGTCATGAAAGGTACTACCTCCGCCCCTTTTTCTAAAATGAGATAATAGAGATCTTGAATTACCATCCGCTGATAAAGGGCAATTGCTCGCGAAGATAGAATTGTAGTTGTATTTAACAATCTGCAAAGCTAGACCATTAATAAACAATTATTAGAGGAAGTTTTTGTGACATCCGGAATAAAAAACGTGGGGTAAGTGTTACTCTTGGAAATTATGCATTGTGCGCGAAACCTACGGATAAGTCAGTCATCTGCTAGCAGACAAGGAACTTATCTGAAGAAGGTTGCGCTACTTTTCAATATTAACTGTAAGCTCTTAGTGAGTGAGAAGACGGATAGTGAGTACAATGTATAATAATTGTTAAATATAAGTGAAAAACACTAACATACACGTAATGATCTCTTGGAATCGCTAAATAAAATAATTTTATTCATGTATTGCATCTTTAGGTTATCTAAATAACCCGGAGGCCACAGCTCGATTAATAGATAGCGAGGGATGGGTACATACTGGAGACATTGGAAATTACGATGACGAAGGGCATTTCTTCATTGTGGACAGGCTGAAAGACCTTATTAAATATAACGCCTACCAGGTATAATTTTTTTGTATTTGTTTACGTGCGCGTTGTATTTCCTTGAGGAAAATTGAAAACTAGCTATGAAAATGAAGTTTTGAAAAAGGCTCATATTTTACTCGAAAAAGGTCTATAAGAAAGTTATTTGGGTTACTCCAGGCCCATAGTTCTTCCTATTGAATTCTTAACTTAAATTAGTCTTTGTTTAGTTTTTCGTTACTACATGTATTTTTAATGCATTATTGTCCGCGGGTTTTCACTTTACTTATTTCTTTGTGACTGAGGAGCCCAGGCTTCATAAGCCTTCTGGTTTCTTCTGGGCTCCCTTGCCAGCTTACAATTCTTATATGTATTTTTGTATTGTAATTTATTTTGGCTAAATAAAACTGAACTAAACTGCACTGAACAAAGTACAGGATTCATAATACTTATTTTTCGAACTCCCAAAGATCAGTCGTTTATGCGTGCGCGACCTTATTTAGAATCCTTATGTCCATCGCCTCGCGCATTTTAACCCAATAAATAAGGGCAAAAAATAATGTCTTTACCAACACGGAGCGTGATTGGGTGTAGCTGGGGGTGAAAAAGTACGGTGAGCGAGAAAATAAACACCATTTTAGGTTTTCGTTCGTTCGCACCCTCCTTGCGCTCGTCGCTCGATCTCCCCGCTCGCCTATGGTCGCGTTCTTACCAGTTTTTTGTTTTAAAGAAAATCGAAAGACTCCGAACTGCCTGAATATTATGTAAGCACGTATTGTCTCCTGTCAAACGGAAAAGCTTATGTACAGCCCAGCAATAATTTAATCCTCTACTTGATGGCTGTCTTGTCTCAAGAGATTTGAATTTCTCCTAGACCCAAAGTTTTTAAAATGTGTTAGACTATCATTTCCTCTTCTCCATAGGTCGCTCCAGCCGAACTCGAGGCGTTGCTGATTTCTCATCCAAACATTGATGATGCAGCAGTCATTGGTATCCCGGATGAAAAAGCTGGAGAGTTACCAAAAGCATTTGTTGTACCAAAGGGTGACATCAAACCAGAAGAAATACTAGCCTTTGTTGCTGCGAAAGTCGCACCACAAAAGAAACTTAGGGGTGGAGTGGAGATTATTGAAAAAATTCCGAAAAACGCGAGTGGCAAGATTTTACGAAGAGACTTAAGAAAGAGAGAAAATGAAAATCATTCATCGTGACTTGCTTGCCTCCTTAATTTGTTCATCAAGATAATTATTTGAATAAAAATCAAAAGAGTTTTTTTGTCACAATATCAGTCCAACTATCAAATCAAGTCAGGCAGGGTTAGGGATAGAGTTAGGGTAAGGCTCAGCGATACTATTAGGGGTTGGGGTTAGGATTAGGGCTAGCCTCAGCTGAAGTTTAGGGTTAGTGTAAGGATTGTGCTCAAGTTTAGGTTTAGGGGTATGTTTAAGGTAAAGTGAGTAGAATGGGTGCATTATCAGGATCGTATGTGGTTTCAGTAGTTTAAGGGCCAACATAGTTTTATTTTCTCGGGCTGATTTATGCCTTAAGTCGAGTCCCATTGCTGCTTGCTTTAGAATTTTGACAGGGTTCCGTTTAGTTTCGTTTTTTTTATAACAATGCTTTGTGTGCTACTCAGTTAAGAGCGCCACTTTTTTTTTTTTCTTAACAGTTAAATTGGTTTATACCATTTTAATCCTAAGGGTTATAAATTTCCTTTGTGCAACGCAAGGCCATAGTTGAATGAATGAAGTGAATAAATGGATGAATGAATAACTACTTACAACACTGAATAGCAGTAGAGGAACCACTAAACTGGGGCACTAAAGTTCAGGGTCTACATAACATAAAAAACATAAAACTTTATTTAAACTCGAATTTTAGAGTAGCTAACATAAGCTAATATCTTCGAGCTGACACTACATAAAAACTATATAGAAAATATATATATACATTAAATGCAAGGAAAGAAAATATCATTTACAATTTACAATTTACAATTTACAATTCTACATCACTTTCGAAATAAAGCGCGCATTTTAAGTGTTCAATAGACTGTTTTTGGCATTCCCTGGTCTCGCATTTTTATCGATTGCTTGATATTATGTTAAGTCTAAATCACTAGTAACTTCTAAGGTACTGAAAACAGCTGCAGGAGAATCTTTTGTGGCTGACAAAGCTCCAGTTCATGATGCTGCGCAATTCAATTACGGGTTTTCCACAGAATTTTAACAGTTTTTCCCCGTAGTTTAGTTTTCTAAAGACTGGGAAACCCTTGAGAACGTGATGTAGCCTTGATGGGTAAAACAAACGCAAAAAAGTACACGTATATAAAAGAAAGTTGAAGAGACAGATGGGATGTGATACACATGTTATTTAATTGTCCCGTCGTTACAACATTTAAATCCACACTCTAGACCCTGCGTTGTCGTTCAGTCCAAAACTGCGTGTTGGTTTAGCCTGTTTAATTAATCCCTTCCTTGTCTTGGATATGATATCTGAAAACAACCATAAAGGAGGCAGGAAAATTCAGTAAGCCCACATAGCTGGGCAAAAAGAAAAAAGAAAGACATGCATGTGATGGAATTATACAAAATTTTCATATTTTAGAACTGTTTTCGTGGCCTCGTTTAAAGTTTCCTGTGCCTTGCGTTTCTAAAATATACTTTTCCTGACCCAAGCTGTATTCTATACAGATAAGGAGGGCAAATATTTATCTTTGGGAAATGTTTCGAATTGTGACGGAAGCGAAAAAGAGCAAGGAGCAGTGGACACATCGACGTTGTTATTACCTTGTCTAAGATTAACATAAGCCAGTTTATTCTGTCTTACATCAAGGAAATAATAACAGGCAAGTAAAACATAGCATCATCTCTGTTTTCATTTATGTTTTGTTTATTTCACTTTGTTTTTTACTTACTTGTCAATTCTGATCCCCTCACTTCTCCAGCCCATAACGATCTCTTTCTCGCCTACTTCTGTTAAAAATGTTGAAAAAAAAATTCCTGGACATTCAGCAGTTGATGGGTCCGTTCTCTAATGAATGATAAGCATTAAATAACCTTAAGTTGCTTCTTTTTCTCTTTTGTAACCAGGCATTACTTACATAAGCCGACAAGTACGCAGGGCCAAACCATAGAGTGTTCTCGTGAGCTCCCTGACATTTGCGAGCGCTACCAACCTGGAGACTGGCAGCAGACAAATAAGGCAACAATGTCACTATTTTATCACTTTAGTTATAACAGGATGGTTACCAAAACTTGGAAAAAAAAAAAAGAAAAGAATAAAGGCAGTTAAAATGAAAAACATCTCGGTCGCGAAGCAGAAACGAGCCATTCCCTCCTTCCCTCTCCCTGCATTTACGACCTGTCGCCTGTAGAATGCAAGGTTCCCGCCATAATTGGTCCAGTTGTGTTTAGAAAGCCATTGTGATTCACTATCCGAAAACACTAGCACCAGATCAGTGGAAAGGAGCACTGAAAAATAGAAACTTGTTGTTTATAGTAAACAAAAACACAATATGAAAAAGCAATCTGCTCATATTCTTTTCTGGCTATAAAATGAGACGAAGCAATTCGAAAAGTCGCAAAAAAGCCAGGATATTTCAGTTTGATGGAAACGATAGGTAGTTTGCATACTGATGAAAATCGCTTCGAGCGCAATTCGAAAGCGTTCCACTTCATTTTAATTTGTTTTTCTGGCATTCTATACATTAATTCAACTGGCTTAAATACTTAAAATATTTTATAAAGTCAAAAAAATCAACATGTTGAGCGATTGCATTTTCTAATAAAAAGGAGAGTACGTGGCGCGAAAGCTTTGAATTATCGATTTGATTATTAAAGTTAAATTATCTTTGTATCGTGGAAACAATAAGTTACCACTTTACTCAGAGAGTCAAAAGAAAGCGACATGCGTCGCCATTCTCTGTGAGCGCGCAAATGGTAATGGACCGGCGATATTACGGCCGACGCGGATCAATAGGTGTAATTCTGTAATGATATTTTGCCCAGTAGATTTAACCTCGCTCGGAATTCTGAATGTCAAGTCACCCTTAAAGGTATCAATAAACGAGTCATTCTCTTCCAAGGATAGATATACTTATAAGAAACGAATAATTTCCGCAATAGAGTCCCAATTCCATAAAGAAGTTCCTATAAGTGGAAAAAAGAAAATTGAATGAGCGATGGAACAACTGCCAGAACGAAAAAAATAAAAAAATAACATTAAAAAAAATAATATCAACAACAACACCAGTAATAGCAGAGATTACTTATATACATGTAGTAGCATGTATCATTTTTACAGATGATAGCAAAACATTTCCGAAAGTCTTAGATTTCTGTGGTTTGATTTCATTGAGTGAACACAAATATCTAAGGTTTCACCTGGGCTCAAACTCTGAAATCAGTTTTTGTGGCAATGACAAAAACTTGAGCTCAAGATGTTTGGCAACAGAAACATTTCATTTAAACACTTTACAGTTTGAAAGTAACATAAATGAAAAGTTCTCAATCATAAATTTTCAATTTTCACCGCTGTAAAAACTGAAATGCAACAATTGCAAGAACTCGAAAACTAGAAAATATACCTTCTTTCTAGCTTTCAAGTACACACATTTTCAGAACCAAGCAATGCATTTTCTCTAATCTGAGAATAAGACTAGTAAACAAGCTGCAAGTGTTTTTTACAAATGCCATGGCCGGGTTGTAGAAAGCAACGTATGATTATTGTTTCAAAACAACAGAGCGTTAACACCCACGCCGTCAGCAGCTAAACAAATTTATAGGAACAAAAGAAAGCAGTTAACATAAGAAAAAAGTTTCAACTCCCATAGGCCGGACTGGTTTGGAACACCAACATGGCGGATGAGACGTCATGTAAAAACGCTCTTTTGGTTGCAGTTCCAGAACAACATTCAAGAGCCCACGTATCTTAAAGACATTTTATGCTACCACTCCCCGGAGTCTAATAACCCCCCCTGATTAAAATATAAAACTTAGAATTCAGTTCTCTGTAGCTCTCAGTTTTTGAATACACTGGATAACAAGACTGAGATAAGACTTACCTGTAGTGGGTTTTATAGTCGTTTCATTGGTAGTTGGCACTAGAGGCTTTGCTGTAAAATTAAGAGAATAGCCAAGTCAATTTAATAATTAAAAATGTTGGGAACGTACAGAGATAGCTAGATGATCCATCGGTGTGTTTAAGATAATGCGAAAGAGTAAACTTCCAAGGGCTCAATGCGCCTTTTTTACCATTTCAGTCGTCCATAGTTACTGTTTTGGGTTCTAGACCAGCATCAGCTGCCGGCGTATTCAAGTTTTTCAAAATGACCGCCACAAAACATTCGGCCATACTGCAACGCTAACCATTAGAAAGAAGTTTTAATTTTAAACGGATAAGAATTGAAGGCCGTCTCCCTGTGAGGAAAGCAAGTGAAGAACAGAAGATTTTAGTTAGGGAGGATAGGAAAAGTCAGCCCTTGCATCAAAAATAATTATCAATATACATGTATTTAATATTGTTGGAAGGATTGCGAAAGCTGAATCTGAACAAAATGTCGTCATTAAAAGCCTGTTGTTCTTTCATTTCCTACGTTTACTTACTTGTTGGCATGAGAGGTGGAGTAGACGACGAAACTAAAAATAAATAAATAAATAAATAAATAAATAAAAAGAAACGCTGAAAGGTTGGAAGCCAAATGGAAATGTCCATGTTGGTTTCTTCCTACCGGCATACTTGAATACTTGGGACCGTCTCTGACCGCCGGTCTTTGACCATTTTGACCTATGGGAAACAGTCGGCCAGAAATTCCTCTTCCCATTCAGTCAAATTGTTGCTTTCAGTGCTACTAGATATTGCGCTATGATCTACAGCTCTACCCTAACAGCTGCGCTACTTCGTCCCTGAGGGGCTTGTGGTTTGCCATCCCTTTTCTTAGCAGTTACCCTGCGCATTTTCCGGGATATCGCAAACGTATTCAAATTGGTCAAGGCTATTAGCAAGGGGATTTGAGCCAATCCGAGACGGAGACTGAAATATTTTGTATGAATAATAACAGTAAATATCCCACGATAGCGAAACTTAAGTAGGCGTTGTTTATGTTTGACTTGAAATCAGTACCTTAGCTTTTAAGTATCCTAGTTCCTACCTGAAGTAGTTGAAGTTGGTGATAAAGCACCGTGGTTACCACAGTAACGAGTACGTATGAATGGTCTACAAGATGGTAGCGGCATAAGTTTATAAACATAATACGATCCGCAGTTCCGGACACTGATGTAAATAGAGGCGCCACAACAACCCAGGAAATTAGTAAAACACACTTTACGCTGGACCACGCCTTCTGCTGAGCCGGGATGACCTCCTCTGAGCCAGCCAGGGAACATCGTTCCACAGTGTGACATGTTGACACAGGAATCAGCCATTTGATATCCAGCTTCTCCACTGAATCTATACCAGCCTGAAAGCGTTGTATCGGTACAATGCCATGTACTAGTATTGTATGATACTGCTCTGTTGGATTCGTTTAGGACTCTGTAGTTGAGACATTCTAAAAAAAAATAATTCAAACCTTGAATATGGCGTTTAGTTACCTAACTGGAAGGAATATATATCGGAGTCAACGAGCACAAACCATGAACGAAATTAAACGATACAAGACAGTGGAATTCTCTCGGCAAAGAAAGGAGGCTGTCATTATTCAACAGGAAATATAAACAGGACTCTTTTCCTTGTATTTATGATAAAATTGTAAATATGCTGCACGCTTTGTGTTTACATTTCAATATGCACGTGCCGGTAACATTATATATTCGGTTTCGCTTGTACTTTTCTGGTTCGAATACTTTAAACGTCTATTCGTTTGATACCTGTTTTGAGCGAAATTTGGTCGTGCTATTACAATATTCTCACATTTCTTATGTTCTTAGAAAACCTAAGAAACGATTGTCCCCTAGAGGGGGGCACCCGCAATGTGAAAGGGACGGGTCGTTCGTCGAAAAATAAGAATTAAACCCCTGAAGTAGGCCACTCTGAATCTTTTTTAAGCATTAGTTAACCATTGTATTCCAATAGTTTTTTTTTTAATCTGGATGGCGCGATCCCAGAGCGGAAGTCAGAATCGATCAGTTACATGGGTACGCTCAATTTGGTGAACCAATTTCAGGTCAACAGGACTTTGCTACTCGCAGAGGATTCTGGAGATTTACAGAACAGGAACTTAATGTGGGAAGCAAATGCTGTTGCCGTTTGGTTACATCTGACTAACATTTTAGATTACTCGGCCTTTTTCGGAATTTGTTTTATTTTGCCTGGAAAAATAATTACTCTAGGACAACCTCATTCCCTGGGCCTTTCCCGTTAGAAAATGGGAAGGGCGGGAAAAAGCCCTGTGGGAACGAGGTTGACTCTAGGATAACGTACTAAATCAATAAAACTGGATTGCCTGATTGTCTTAACACCAACATGTGTAAAAAGGCATGATATGATTGAACCAAAAATCATGCATGTATTTACCTCTCACCAGTGGTAAACCGTTGCCACAGTAACGTAGGTAACAATGAGGTGGAGGCAGAAGTTTGTAAACGAAGAAAGATCCACAATTACGGACGCTAATATTACTAACATATCCACAGCAACCCCGAATAGCGCCAGGGAAACAGACTTTACGTCGGACAACTCCTTCAGCCACTGAGGGATGACCGCCACTAAGCCATCCGGGCGCATCTGTGCTGCAATATTTTCGAAATAAATCACTGACACAAAAATCAGCCATCTGACTTCCAGCCCCTCCACTAAATCTATACCAACCGGCCAACAGATTGGTATCGCAGGGCCATGATGAAATATTGGAATACGTTATTGCCCTGTTGATTTCGTCAAGGAATCTGTAGTTGGAACATTCTAAAAAGGAAAAATGTTACAAGCGGTATTTTGACATTCAGTTTTTACTTAACTCTGACAACGTTCTTTATCAGTTTTGGTGTATGAGCCTCATATATGGCGAACCTTGCTTGTCCTATCCCCGTATCTGACCATATTAGGTAATGGCGGAGTACTAACGATGTACATGGCTTGTTATTATCAGTATAAACGTTCAGGTTTCAAAGCAGATTTAACAAGACGCTGTGGGAGCGTAAATTTGGGCGCGGATGTACGAGGCGTGTGCGAAGCTTTTTTTAATATGTTTTAGCGATGTGTGAGTAGTTCAGTTACGCTGTATATTTCAGGGGTTGGTTGAGATGCGTGAAGTGGAAGGCGTGGAGTTATATTGGACGTGAAATTGTAAGCCCGGCTGTAGTTTGTTAGTCAGTGAGACTTGTTTCTCGTAGTATTTAATATGAAGGGAGGTAAAAGTGATTTTAGGTGTTGCAGTGAGGTAATTGTGGAAGTGCTTACTTGGTTATGAAGGAATAGTGTAGTTGCAGTGTGTTGAAAGGAAGTGGTGGTTGTGAAAAGTCTTATCAATAGTCGAAAACATACTTGTACTTATTTTAAACGTTGTTAGGCTTTCTGTTTAGGACTGTTTTTCGCTTACCCTAACCCATCTATTGTAATGTAATGTAATGTAATGTAGTGTAATGTCAAGATAAAAGGAAAACAAGACGATCCTTCTTTACATGTTAAAAGTAAGCTGGGACGTCAGCATCCAAGGGTGCCACTGGCAGCCGCTATCAATCCATCAGTCCCGCTACATGTATTTGCTTCGAGTTGTGACTGGCCAATTCAAGTATCAGTTTTGTTTGGAAGCAGAAATTGTTAGGCTCTGGTTTTTGATGACTTTTGCTGGTCAGGAGTTCTTTAAACATCAGAAGTGCCAAAAGAAGTGAGAGTTAGCTCATATAAAAAGTAAAAAAAGGAAGAAGAAAAAGAAACTTTACTCCAGCACCTATGTAGTGACCACGAAAGTATCAGTGTACAACATTTTGGGGATCATTTGTGATACTGTACAGCACGATTTTTTTAACATCTCCTCGAGGAAACGGGACAGCCATTTCTACGTGTTCATCCGAGTCACGCATAAATCAAGCCCTTTACAATGTCTTCTACCTCAGTTATTTTGAGACCCTAAGTACTGGTACGGTCCCGAAGATCGAACTAGCACGGCCTTCCGTTCTTGCAGTCAAGCGCTCTACCGACTGAGCTAGCCTACCGGGGTTTAGGGAATTCACTGTAAAGATAATATATCCCAGAAGAGTACCCTTCGTTATTTGATAAAGGGTCCAAAGTGTTGTGAAATATTTTGAAATTTATATTTGAGATCTGTCCCACCTTTTATGTTTCGTTTTTGTGACATTAAGTGGGTCAAGGTTAGTCTTGTTTCTGTCCAAATAGGTATTTTCCTGTTTTGATGTTTTGTTTTTGCTTGTTCTTGAATTTTTGCTTAGCTTGCGAATTTACTTAATGCTATTTTAGGAATATTATTCACTTGTTAGTGTCTCAAAGATGGACATGTTTGTGATGTTAGAGCTGACCTTGGTCCCACTGAAGTTCCTGTTTGGGCTTGTTAACCAGCGTTTTAGTTTTTCATCGGTTCATGTAGCTTCTCGCCGACCGCAACCATATAGCTTCAAACATTGCCCACACTGCATGAGTCTACCTTATTTTTATCCCCGCGGTCAGCTAAGCCAAACATGTTTAGCTTAGGCTATCAAAACAGCTACTTAGAGGAGTGAGTTGGAGTAAAGAGTTAGTTGTATTTATAAGAGCAGTAGCAGTCAAAGAAGAACGAAGACCAAGAGACTCTCGGGACCTCATCGCTTAGCGAGCTAGTTGTTGGAACACTCCTACAAAAGCTAACATACCATTTGAGGTATTGTAAGGCACTTGAGTATATACTGCCGTGAATCCTCGCGCCCACTGGCTGCTATCAGAAACAAAGAGCACTCTCAGACTGTCCTGTTGAGAATAATATGTTATATTACCAAAGAAGACACCACATTCCCGCTTCTTATTTGGAGTACCATCTGCAAAAGAGGCATTTTCTATTTCCAGATAATCACAGGAACAAGCTCTGCAGTATTGAATTTCTAAACTTTGAATGACCAACTTTACACGTTTCCCTTTTCTTGCTATTATTTGCCAGCTGCATGTCTGGTTCTCTGGATAATTTAACGGGAAGTTAGGACTGGTTATTACTCCTGATGTCTCGCTGAGGATCAGGTGTGGGCAAACTGCAAAACAAAAGAAAAGTTGTATACCATCATAGTTTCAATCTAGTATGATGCCTTCCACATTTACCATTCTAAGATCAGACGTTCGGGTGAAATTGGAAACTGTCGACGGAAACTGACAGTTAGAAAAATCTCCTTGTGGAGAGATTTTTGCCTAATGTGCAGTGCGAAGAGATCGTTTAACGCATCCCCAAACGATAGCGAATTTCTCAAATAGTTGAGAGCTTGCAGCTGCCTCCCGAGCAGAAGCAGAAAAATTCTCATTACTCGTTGCCACTTTTTTAAAGCAAAGAGTTTTGTCGTACTCCGGCGTTCTCATTTAGGAATGAATTGTAGAATTAGACTAACACCCCTGGACTAATAAAATGAAGCCAAAATCTCTTACCTGGCGAATGAGTAGGCTGTGCTGTAGTTGGAACTGTCAGTAAATAAAAATGAAATATCGATGTGGCGTTATTCATTTTTTTGACAATGTGCAGAATGCCATGCACTACTCACTGACTACTTTTGAAATGTTGATGGCTGCCAAGGTGCAATTCATTTGAAATTCTGTAACACATCAAAATGCCATTGGAGAGATCTTGATCCCCCCACCCAGTTTTTGTACCAAAATGTATTAAGACTTGCTTGGCTTGTCTTAGGGTTAGCGTCATGCACACACAAATCTGACAGCTTAAGGTAAAGGCAAAAGGCAGGGCCCTTATTTTTCGCCGTAAATCGTAACAGTATACATTAGAGTGACAAACCAGAGGCCGACAGCATGCCCTCACCCCCGCCCTCCCTCTTCTTCAGTACTCACTTTTAAACGTAATTAAAATTACTTAAAGCGACACGGAAAGAAGAGAAGTCGAAGCAAGGATTTTAAGATCACACTCAGGAATGGAACTCGGAAATTCTAGCACAGAATGCCGCTCACCAAGACTGTGCTAATCTTTGCATGAGGCTTGCGTTTTTTAGGGGTGCAAGGAAAATTCATAATTGTGAAGAGAAAAGTAATTATAATGGTGAGTTGGCAAAGCTGAAATTGAAACGTTAGAAACTTTGAGTATGACTGTTTTCGAGCTCTCCTCTTATACAGAACTAACGATTATTATTAAAAACTGAATCATTGGATAATGCAATTCTAGAGCTCTGATTAGCTTAGCCATCATGGTATACCATGCTCTCCAAATATGGCAACTGTACGCTCCTGCTCAAAATTAAAAACAAGCTGAAAATCAGTTGTTTTTACAAATAAAGTCGGGAAGAATACTCGATATCTTGTGGGCGTTTTTAATAAAACAATTATTCCACTGGATATGAGATGATTATAGCCAATTCATATCCAACGCGCACTCGTGGAATAATTGTCAATTATCAAATGATAAATGACATGAATATATATTTTTTATCCGAAAGCAAGTTTCATTTTATTATACACGTAATATATGTAGATTTGCATACGCAAAGGAGTTCTAGCCAAATCAGAGGAGCGAACAATATTTTTCACAAGTGAAAAAAAAAAAATGTCCGATTAGAATCGCGTACGAAGTATTTCACATGTGCCAAGAATGATACGTCCAATCAAAAGCCACCACAGTGCGTGAGTTTTGCGCCAAGTTTCCCGCTTTTTATGGGTACAGTGTCATAGGTTCTCGAGTTACTTTGCACTCCAGAAACTAGCCTGCGAGCAAGCTTTCCGGAGCGCTCTGGCGTCAGGAAGGGAAAAGGAAGGAGAGCTTGCAACTACGTCTCTAAAATTTGAATATCTGCATCGAAAAAGTCGATGCGAATCGAAATGCTGATTGGCGGAGATGACATCACTAATGACGTCATTACCCTTGGTAAGTGTTTTTCCATGTTTGTCTATATTCGCGCTCGTTTCCCCTTCGCGCTGATTGACGGAAATCTCACAGTTTAGTCGACGGGGAGCCACAGGGGATATTGGAGGTGGAGTTTACATCCCAGAGACGTAGTTGCAAGCTCAAGTGATATTCAGTGATAAAACAATATTAATAGTACTACTACTACGACTACGACGACGACTACGACTACGACGACGACGACGACGACGACGACGACGACGACGACTACTACTACTACTACTACTACTAATTACAATAATAATAATATTAATAACAAATGTGGGTCACCTACTCGAAAAACTAAGGAAACAGAAAAGAAGAGACGGGAAAAGGAAAGGAGGAGAGAGATAAGAGAAAAAAAAGCAATGGCCTTTCCTCTTTAAAAATGAATAAATATAGTCAACACCAACCAAACCAGTAAGTAGCGCGGCTTTTGTGCTCGAAAATAGGGCGTTTATGGTGTCATTACGGAAACGGCAAAGAGAACGTCGAAAAAGAAATAGTTTGAATAGGGCAAAGCAACAACTCTGCACGTGCAGCACACTTTTTTGTACTTTTGTTTGCCATCACTACACGATATGCGACGTGAAATAGCCTATATAGTTCACGTTTTGTACCTGATGTAGGTTGGATCCCACTACCACAGTAGCGAAAGTTGCAATGAGGTGGCCTCTGAAGCCAATAAACATAAAAGCCTCCGCAGTTACGGACACTGATGACAATCAACCACTTGCAGCAATTTGATTTTGATCGAAAACAAACTGAGCGCGAAACCACTCGTTCAGCTACTGACGGATGACCTCCATTCATCCATCCGGGAGCGGCTGTACCGCAGTGTTTATGATCAACACACGAATCAGCCATCTGATTGCCAGCTCTTCCACTGAATCTGTACCATCCCGACAGGGATGTGTCACATAACACAGTTGAAGTATTGAAGTACGTTCTTGCTCTGTTGGATTCGATTAGAAATTTGTAGTTGGAACATTCTACGAGAAAATATTTAAAAAAATGGCATCAGACTGCTTAGGAAATTCCCAACCCCATTTACGCGCCCACAAAAATAGGCATTCACTTCAAAATTTTGGCACCGCGATGGCAATTTTTGGGCACCGCACTGCCCTCGAAATAGCCTCCCACGCGGACGTTCTTAGGGGTTTGTCACGAGTTCCTGCCCCACTAAAGTCTCCTGATTTGAGCGGAAAAACGTAGACATAATCACAACAGACTTCCAGATCTGGGAAGTGCCCTTTGGACCGAGAGAAATTTCGCATTTGACTTTGCTCCAGAAAAGATCAGAAAGGTCTCATGAAAGGTGAAGACCTTACAGTTTCAGAACAAACTAATCAGTTAACTCACATCGCTCGTAGTAGAGGCTACCCTCACCTTCTCATTGAAAAAATTACCTCGGAGGTTAAATTTACCCAACGGAAGTCGGGTTTACTACAAAACAATAAAGTGTGAAAAAAATACTGCCTTTTGTTCAGTTACAAGGTAACCCGGCCGTTGCATCACCCAAAGAACGACTTTGTGAGCAAATGACATCTAATTCAGCCTTTACAGAGAGAAACATACAAAAATCAAGGCTTATCTCCTAGATTCTCGTTTGGAGTAAAAATCTTTGGTCACGTATCACACTCTACCGAGCTTGTACGTATGTGTTTGGCTTGTCAACACTTTGACTTCAACAACTGATATTTGCGAACAATGGGAAAGGAATTCACTTTCGGTTAAGCAGACGTTAGTGGGGCAGGAAGCGTGACGAACCCCTAAGAAAGTCGGCGTGGCAGGCTACTCTCGCAATCACCTACGTGTAAACGTATCGATACAGTACAAAATTTGGCATTGGTACCGTAATTTTTAGGGGTGCCGTAAAATCATCCTCATCCCCAGGGGCTTCCCGGTTTTTAAAATGGTGTCACCCTATTGGAGATTGAAAAGACCCTAGAAACGAAGTTTCGCAATGTTTCGTTGCGAACCGCTGCGGTGGCTGTTGATTGGACGTACCATTTTTCGAACATGTGAAAAACATCGTACATCTGTACACGATTCTGATTGAACATATCATTATTTTGGGTCGTGTGACTGGATAGGGCCCTTCCTAAAAATCGCCAGTATGGTGCCAAACATTTGGGGTGCCGGGCCGATCATTTTGCACCTTAAATGGGGTTTATTATGTATTACTGGATACTTAAATTCAGTTGTTGCTTCCTGGCTCAAGCTGAGAATTTTTTCCGGCTTTTTACTTACCTGATGAATTATGAGGAGTCGGTGTGACTGCGACTGCGATGGTCGGTAAAACATGTACGGTCAGCGACGCTGAAAAAAATGGCGAAAACAAATTTGAATGTACATCCAGGAGCAACCTTATGTCTTGCAGAAAGTGGCGAATCTGATTGCCTCTTTCTGAGCACTTTTTTTGTTTACAGATAATAAGTCGTACTGGACTATATTCTTAATTGATTATTCCTCGGACGGGTATTTCACTAAAAACGCAACCTCCGGCTTCGAATAAAATGTACGAGGAAACCAAATTTATCAGAGCTATATGATTTTCAAAGTAACCTACCCATCCGTCCTAAGGAAATCATTACCGTTGAACTGCCATTGGCCGTCGTTATTGAGCTAAACCGTGTCTGTCACGCAGCTTGGAACCGGCCGGGCTATGTCTGTGTATGCCAAGGAGCATCGGTGGTGTCACGTTTATAACTGAAACCCTTAATTGAGACGATTTCTGAATCTGAAGTGCTCGTGGTCGCATTTTTATAGTGGCTACTTTGAAGGTAGTTTTTGAATGAGAGGAACTGGTCGAGTGACAAGGACTTTTGCGCAGTAAAATTCTCAAAAATACAAGTGGATAATTATCTAATAAAGGAAAAATATGATTTCTGCTCACTGGAATCTCTCTCGGGGTCTCAGGTGGGCATAGCATAAACCTCACTTACAAGATGACGGCAGAATCAATTGAGTTGACGCCAATTCAACCATAAGAACTGAAAAAAAAGAACAGAAAAACGCGTTAGCTTCAACCCCGTCAATCTCCTGAATCTCTAGTGCAGGCAAAAATAAAGACAGATAAAACTGATTTCAGCATTTCATTTTTAGTTCTGCACGTCAGCCATAAAAACTAGCGCTAAAGATTCTGAAGAGGTTTCACTGTTATGGTTACAGTGAGATTTCATCCTCAAAACATTAAAATTAAATATCGACTTTGGGTATATTGGTAGTCATTTGCCACGGTTAAAGCGAGGTCTTGTATAGCAGTTGTTCTTCTCTTGACCACAAAGGCTCAGCAGGTGCAGGGGACCGGAAGAATCACTCAAGAATATGAGGAGGCCGAGATTAACAAAGGCACATAAAGGCAACAAAAAGCTAAACAAATTGGCCATTGAATGAGTTTTTTCTTTTAAGGTCTCACTAGGAAGATTAACCTCATGCAGACGAGTTCTTGGGGCTTTGTTTCGCGTTCCTGTCCCTCTCGGTTCGTGGAGCAGGAACGCGTGCCTGGAAGCCCTATAAAGAACATTAGCCTGTTCCGTGCGTTCAGATCGTGGGGACAGCGCGCAGAGATGTGAGCAGAAAAAAACAGCGAGGGGTGGCGGTAGGGGCGAGAGCGAGGGAACGCCTGCAGCATTTTTTTTAACAAAAGCTCCTTCCGGAAATAAGCAACACGGTTAATGAATTCTTAGCTCAATATATTAGAAAAAGCGAGGTCTTGTATAGCAGTTGTTCTTCTCTTGACCACAAAGGCTCAGCAGGTGCAGGGGACCGGAAGAATCACTCAAGAATATGAGGAGGCCGAGATTAACAAAGGCACATAAAGGCAACAAAAAGCTAAACAAATTGGCCATTGAATGAGTTTTTTCTTTTAAGGTCTCACTAGGAAGATTAACCTCATGCAGACGAGTTCTTGGGGCTTTGTTTCGCGTTCCTGTCCCTCTCGGTTCGTGGAGCAGGAACGCGTGCCTAGAAGCCCTATAAAGAACATTAGCCTGTTCCGTGCGTTCAGATCGTGGGGACAGCGCGCAGAGATGTGAGCAGAAAAAAACAGCGAGGGGTGGCGGTAGGGGCGAGAGCGAGGGAACGCCTGCAGCATTTTTTTTAACAAAAGCTCCTTCCGGAAATAAGCAACACGGTTAATGAATTCTTAGCTCAATATATTAGAAAAATCTTTTAAAAAGTTACACATAAATTGTAGGGTCCAGGAGAAAAACACATTGCTTAATCCCTCATAAACTCGCGTGAATAATTTGAATAGCCAAACTATACACGCAACAGCTGGCAAACGTTTACCCGTGTTACCGAAAGGGAAGATAAAATAACTATGATAATTATTGATTATCAGTGGCAATAAATGAAAATCAGTAATGTTTAGGCGCTCTCGATGAGTGATTATCGACTTTTATTAATTGGCTAAGCCAATCAATATTAATCAATAGATTTTTATTGAGTCTTTTGATTGAAACCAATGAATGATTTCCAATGATTGTTGTCGTCTGGTTTAATAAAACAGGTAAAAGGAGTGCCCCTCTACTCAACAGGACACAGGTTTTTCAACATTTTTCACTCATTATTTAATAAAATATTTTAATACAAAAATTACTTACGGGAAATCAAGACAACCCAGATCAACTTGAAGGTTACTTTTCTCTCCATTAACTAAACGTCCTGGGAACAAAACAAGACAAGATTATCATCTAAATTGTGAAGTAGAGGATAAAAGTGCTTGCCGGTAAACAATTTAATCCACCTAAGAGGTGTCTCTTTTCGCAGGAGCTGAATATTGCTCCAAAATTTTCTCTATATTGCGACTAATTAAGCATGACCATATATATAGATGATAATTGAAGAAGTTGGCTCCTACTTATAAGTTGAGAAGGCTATGCAACGTTAGCCTGCGTAGCAAGCGTTTCCAATCGAGTTATTAGGGAGTTTAAGATACGGCGACTACGGACTACGAACTACGGCTGGACGAGCGTTGTTCTTTGTTCGTAGCACTGGGTTGAGTCGTGCAAATATAGAACGTTAAGATTGCACTACAGACAGTAGACTACGAGAGAAGAGGCGGAGAGGGAAACAACACGCAAAGATTTTCTTGTTTTCATGACAGTTCACAAGAATGCAAGTCAGTTTTGCATGTGATCGTATCTTTAGACACTGAACAAATTCTTCCATACTTGAAGGAAGCAATTACGTCGGGTGAAATTGTAAACAAAGTTTTGGTTACACAGGTTTTAGTTTTGCCCATGAATTCTTATGTCAAATATTAAAGAAATAGACAGAAATAGTAATAGCTCATTTATTAGATTTAGAATATGGACTTCTCCGACTACTGATCTGATTTAGTCTGAAGTATTGAAATGCCGAGTTTCGATTGTCTCGAAGATGTTTACATCATTTTCATTCAGCAAATGCGATACAAAAACTCGCATAAACAAAGGTTACACAAGTAGAAAGACACAATAATCAGTTCGAACAAACATTGAATCTTTTCAAGTGCTAAGAGAAAGTAAATTACCTGCATGATTTCTCTTCTCCTCGGCCGTCAATCGGAATTCTGCGTATAAACAGCTAACCTTGTCAAATATGGGCTTAGCTAGATAAAAATGAGGTCACAACAGTGGATTAAAAGCGTAAATCTGAGCAGAAATTAGACGCAACTTACATATTTTGCTTCCCTCTCACTTAAAGCAGGTGAATTAAAAACATTTTTACGAAAAGACGAGATTCTTGAAGTACCGAGACGGCAAAATACGAGCAAAATGTTCTCCGTAGTCGCGACTACGCGAAACAGCTCAACAACTCACCGTAGCCGCAGGACTACGCGGGAAAAACGAACAGTCACGTGGTTTTGATCATGCGTAGTAGCATGTTTATCCGTAGTCGTAGTCCGTAGTCGCCGTATCTTAAACTCCCTATTAATGCTCTAGAGCTGAAAGAAATGGAAGACGCGCGGAAACACTTGCTACGCAGGCCTTCCTTGGGGGTTAGAGGAGAGAAGATGGGGGGGGTATGGTTTTCAAGCAGTTTACTCTGGCAGTATATATAAAACAGAGAGTTTGGGTCGCCTAGAATAGGGTATCATTTTCCAGGAGATTGATCAGTTGTTTGAAGCTTTAGTCTAGGACTAGGGAAACAGGGAATTGCCACTGAAAAATATAAAAAAGATCAATAGACCTTTTCACGGTTCATGGACAACTTTGGGAATATCCGTCCACACCACTAAAAAGAACGCTTTAAAATTAGTAAAATTGCCTAGTTTGAAAGTGATTTGTTGAAAGCTTATAAAGATACAGCTCCTCAAAGTCGCGAAATTTTACAGATGCTTGTATGGCGGAGGGGGGGCAAAAAAAAAAAGTGACTTGCTCTCCACCATACAGGCGTCTATAAATTTTCACAACTTCGCGGAGCTAAATCTCCGCTCGCTAAAGACGTATCGCTTTAAAATTTGGCAATTTTCCTAATTTTAAGGCGCAGTTTTCAGAGGTGTAGACGGATTTTCCCTAGCTGGTCCACATAAAATGTTGAAAAAACCGTGAAAAGGTCTATTCGGCAAGTTTAAATTACGCAACTCAGCCTATAAGCTACTCTAGGATAGGGGAAATTGGGGAGTTTAGTCTAGTATAGGGTTACAAAATTCAGCTGAACTAGCTCTGGTATAAGCTAAGGGTTCCAGGGTCTCAGCGGCACATCCCCACCCCAAAATTCCTAAAGTGCTCCCCCCCCCCTCACCGGATTTGACCTGATTATTGACCTACAAAGAAATCTGCCCTATAAAATTTTGATTCAGTCACAAAACTGTTTTCGGCCCGCATTGTTCCGCGTTAATCCCCAGTTACACACTGAACAATACGTTACTCGGTTACTGAAAGGTTAGCCAAGACAGCATGTAAACTCGAAACTAATAGACCTACGATGTACAGTATTTGAAGCTACTTTCGAAAACTCTTAATATGCTGGCCAAACACATGAAAAATTGCATGACTCACTATCGAGAACGACAACAGAATTTCACTCCTCTCTGTGTTAGTTCGTTTTAACACAAGTTTGATATTTATTGCGGGCCATCTGCCTTTGTAATTCTGTTTCCTTGTCGTTGAACGCGGAAGATTAACAAACAAATCAAAACGGCTGCTCATAGCCCCGGTTGACACAAGCCTGTCTTCCGTACGTCTCGAATGTGATTCTTCGGGCGATAGCGTGCACGAGCAACCAAGGCATCTTTCTTTTCAAATTGCAACTTACCTTATGTTTGTATTGGCCCAGCTAAAATTGTCTTCACTTACCGGTTAACATTTAAAAATATCACTGCCATGGAC